CTCAGGAAAAAAAAACTCTTCCAGCACACTTCCATTCCAATCTCTTCGTTCAAAGTCAATGAGAGCACTAACCTTGAGATTGATATCAATAAGGTTATTTTTGATCCACGGTGCTCTCATTCCATCATCATCAAGCCAATAATCTGCCCAAACTCTTATACTTGACCCATTACCCACTCTATTCACCAAACCTTTAATCAACAGCTCACGGCCGTGCATAATACTTCTCCAACCGAAGGAGGGTTTGTTAGACATTGCTGCCTGTAAGAATTGGCCACCAGAGAAATACCTGCTTTTCATAAACCTTGAGAAGAGACTGTCAGGGCATTGAAAGATTCTCCAGGCCTGTTTGGCCAATAAGGCCTGATTAAAAAGACCAATGTCCTTGAATCCCATTCCTCCTAGATGCTTAGGAAGGCACAACCTGTCCCAGCTTTGCCAATGAATCTTCCTGGCATGTTCAAATGAGCTCCACCAGAAGTCAACCATCGCACTAGATAAATTAGCGCATGTAGATTTAGGGAATTTGAAGCAAGACATAGCAAACACCGGCATTGCCATCGCAACCGTCTTCAGCATCACTTCCTTACCGCCCTGAGATAGAATTCTAGAAAACCACCTAGAAAGTTTACTTTTTACTCTATCCTTAATAAACCCAACATCTCAATCTTTGAGCCACTGAAGCACTCCGGTAAACCCAAATAAGTACCTGCTCCTCCCTCGTTATTAATCCCTAGCTGTCTTTGGAGGTCAGATTTTATCTGATTCTGAACATTTTTCCCAAACGAAATGGAAGACTTGTTCACATTTATCACTTGACCAGTCGCAGCCCCATAAGCAGCCAGGATACTTTGCAGCGAGATAGCTTGATCAATATTCGCCTTGCATAGAAACAAACTGTCATCTGCGAAAAGCAAATGATGAATGACTGGTCCCGCCTCTAAGAATTGAAAACCAGAGATCTTTCCTTCCATTTGTGCCCTATTTAAAAGATGGGTAAGACCCTCGGTACAAAGGACAAAGAGGAAGGGGGATAAGGGATCTCCCTGTCTTAATCCTCTCTCAGGCACAATCAATCCGGAAGCTTTGTCATTGATTAACACAGAATAAGTTACAGAGGATACACACTTCATTATCCAATTAACCCAAACCAGTTGGAAGCCAAGAGCTAACAGTAAAGATCTAAGGTAACTCCACTCAACACGGTCAAATGCCTTGGACATATCCGACTTTACTGCCATGTACCCAGACGCAAAAGGCTCCTTGGTATTCAGGGAATGAACCAATTCGTGAGCAATCATAATGTTATCAGTGATCAGTCTCTCAGAAACAAAGGCGGACTGCGACACTGAAACAATTTCTGGAAGAAAAGGCTGCAGTCTTCCAACCAAAATTTTGGAAACCACTTTATACATTACCGAGCAAAGACTAATGGGTCTCAAATCAGACATAAAAGAGGGATGCGGGATCTTAGGAATGAGACACAAATGAGTATAATTCCACTCTCTAGGCAACACTCCATTTAGAAAGAATTTTTGGACCTCAGCAATAACTTGTGCACCCACAATATTCCAGTAATGCTGAAAAAAAAAGAGCCGACATCCCATCAGCCTTCGGGGCACTGCCTGGCTTAATAGAGAAAACCGCATTCTTGCTGAATAACAATTAGATTCGTTCATATAAAATATTATAATATTGTAACTAAAGTATACAAGGAATGAAAAAACAATCAAGTTCATACCTCCAAAGTGGTATTTCGGACCCATTCGACGGCGGATACCAAGAAAATAAGTAGTTGTACTATTTAAAAAATTGTTTTTTTTTGGTCAGAGAAATTCTTTAGTAGTATAACATAAATGACGCAGTGGAATATCAATAAAACTAAAACTAGTTAAGTAAATCGGATAAAATTAATTTATTGCAAAAGAGTTGCTTTATTCCCGTTATCAAGCCGGCGCGTATTCATTTTTTATTTCGAAACTTTTTTTATTCTATTCCTAAACTACCAATAATTATCATTATATTCGTCACTATACAAATTTGGTTCTTCGATTGGGATGATCAGAAATAAATACGTTACATCGGGAAAAACAACCACGGGGCCAAATCCTAAAATAGTTTTGGACAAAAACAATTTTGAATGTATATGTATCCCTTATAAGACAAGAGAAAATGTTTCTATTCGAATCAATGAAACAAGAGTCCAAAATTATTTGGTCAACAATTAGTGACTCCATATTAATTACGCATGTGTTTCTTTGTGGATCTGTGTGTGTATATATATTAGTGTGTGAAAAATTGAGTGGTGAAGTGTGAGAGAGAGGGGGCCATCAAATCTAATGGAAGCGTCGGGCGACTCAATAATTTTGGCTTCGCCATTAATTACCCTTGTTTATTTTATTCTTTATACATCTCTTTTTGGGTCACATTTTTAATAGTATGTGTTTGTCGACAAATCAAACAGACATATGAATTGATATAGCAAAAGAATCTAAAAAACCAATAAATCGAAAATAGATTTTTTTAACTGCTGATGAAACGTCTAGAATATTGTATTATTGGTAGGAATATTTATATTAAAAAAAGTAAATCACAAAATATCGACATGTTTTTGGTCAAATGAAAAGTAATAATGTATATTACATGTACGTGTATAATACTGCTATCAATCCAGCAAAAGAGAAGAGTATATAGTACTAGTAGACTTGTGAGAATGTTTCGTTTTCTGAGTAATGGCTTGAGATAAGGAAACAACTGCTTTTGGTCCATACCCTCTTCTCTTTCCGTCAACCGTTTTGAAATTGATCTTCCTATTTTCATATTACATTATTAGTTTCTTCACTTCCTTTTTCCCATTTAATTCCCACTTGAGAATGTTTATATTTTTAGTGCTTTCTTGGTTTTAGTCTTTAAAATATATTTATAGATTTATTGCTACTTGCTAGTGTTTAAGACTTTAAACTTTGAGCTCTAAGATAAATTATTTTGAAAAGAGAATAATATTATGTACGATTGAAGTTTTTTTACAGAGTGGCCTACGACTTTGTTAAAACTCGATTGAGAAAACAAAATTACAACAACGGTAAAAAGTTTTGTAACTTTATTTGTATTATACCCGTTTTACCTAACCATAAGCTATGGGCTCTACACTAGTAATCAAGTTTATAAGGTCAAAAGAACCTTTAAAGGGTGAAAAGAAAAGGTGATAAGTTTTAATAACTGATAAGCACTCCACTAATCCTCTAATCGGACGGTGGAGATAGATGGAAGAGTTGATGGTCAAGAACCTCAACTTAAGATAAGTTTGATTGATTTTTTTTTATATACTTCTATAAATCTAAAAGTTAAAAGTGTTGAGCCGAAATTAGGATGCAAAGGTATATGCCATTTCAACGTTAAATGGTACAGATTTGTGGTTGTAATATTCCACTTTCGTGTATATCATTGATGCACATGAAATTGTAGTTTTTTTAATAACTTGTTGATGTGGTCCAATTCCAAATTTTCGATCTTAATGATATAGTATGAACTAAAGAAAGGATGATTGGAGAGAGTGTTGTGTTATACATTGAACATAACTAAGTTTTTTATATACATATTGGAAGTAAATAACTTTAGAAATTTGTTTCAACAATGGAAGAATTTTGATAAATTTACTTTGTATCATTGTATGCAAATGCTAAAAAATCTGAAGAAGAAGAGTTCCAAAATCCAAACATGTGTTGGTTTGTGGGTTATTTCCAAAACACAACAACACTCTTTATATAAAGCTGCCAAACCAAAATTTTCCCAACCACCATCCGCTCCAATTCTAGATTCACATCCTTGTTAACCGGATAAAGTTATAAAGTCAACTGATTACAAAAACAGAGTAGGTCCTTCGCTTTTTATACACCAGAGAGACCACTTAATTGAATTTAAATCGAGTTCTGGAAGAAATATAGATTAATTCTTAGTTATTGTAATTCTTATGCGAAATTACATATTAAAATGGCTAATTACAGAAAACATCTGACAGAAATTGAGTGACTTGATTATGTAGCAACATAAAAGGAATATTAGTATAGAACAAATTAAAAAAAAAAACATGAGTAAAATGCACATTAAGAGTAATGAAACCAAAAGAGATGTCGTAGGCAGTTGCGTAGCTTAATGAGATTTAGGTCCACAGTATGGCCTTCTTCTGATAATATGATATGACCCATGTTCTAAAAATCCCCGCCTAGACCGATTACTCCCCGCTTAATCGCTAGGCTTACCTTAATCGCCTCGATTAATGACTAATCCCCTAAAAAAATCAGTTACCCGATTACTCTCCGCCTAATCCGATTACTTCCCGCCTAATCCGATTACTCCCCGCCTAATTTTACATATCTCGATTATTTTTATATTGCAATTATAAAAAACTTTTTATTTTTGTTATTCAATCATTTAAATTAGGAGTTTGTGATGTTTTACAATAACTTATGTTCAAATTTTAATAAAAATCATAAATTTGTAATAAAAATCATAAAAATTTATCTCAAAAATACAATTTTATGTGTTTACTGAAATTTTGAAAACAATATTTGATTAACATGTTTTAAAAGTATTAAAATAATCCTAAAACTAATCCCCGATTAATCCCTGATTTTAATCCAATTTTCCGATTAATCGCTAGGCCCATACCTAGCGCCTGACTAGCGCCTAGCGATTTTTCAAACAAGGGATATGACAACATTTCTCAATTCTATTTATTCAAAATTCCCTTAAAAAATAATAGTAATCAATTTTAGTGACCCTATCTATATCTCTGTGTCAAGGCCGGCCCTTTTCTTCGCATTCTACTACACTCACAAAGCCACACCTATTTATCATCATCATCATCATCATCACTCTTCCTAAAGCAAATAAATGAAAGAACAAAAAAAAAAGAAGCTAAATATTTTACTTATTGGTTGGTGTGTCATATGTGCGTAGATATGATGTGGATTGTGTAAAGTTTGTGTAAGAAGCTAATGTGGCTACTGGGTGCTCATATGGGACCAAACTTAGTAGACTTTTAGTATTCAGATTCACAGAATCAAGAACCAAGACAATACCCCTTATCCATGGCTAGGCTACAAAAGTTATCAGAATTGACAAAAGGATTACAAGTGTGGAAATCTTGACAGATTTGTGATTTCAGGTGAGAGTTTTGGTATATGCAATTATCTAAGTGTTGGAGTGAGTATAGTAAATGTGTAAAGGAGTTGAATCCTTGGTCATGTCTAAGTGCAGACGAGTGTGCAGAGGTCTTGTGTCCTGGCTTGTGAGATATTGGTGTAAGGAAATATCCGGAACTTTCCACTGGCCATGCACGTTAGTGTTAGCTGAGCATCACTCACCATTGCCTGTCATATTCACATATAGTTTTTACAATGTTGTAATCACTATTTAAAAGACTCAGATTCTAGAATCAGGGTCACAACAAATGTTATGGTTAGAAGAATATACCTTGCAGGAAGTAGTCATGTCGCTGCAGCTCCATTTTCTGGTTGGAACATAGTCAACATAGCGACACCAATTGCAAATGACGGTTAAGATTGACGCCCCGGCACGCTGCTAAGTGCTGATAGAACCCTGGCAAGTCTAATGAACAGAGATGGATAAGCTCTTTTATGACAAGAAACCATGACGCTGCATTCGCAAAACAGTCATAAATCAGAACTTATTGTTGGTTTCAAGCAAACAAAACAAAAATATAGATTTTGTACCTTTCATACCATCCATTCCAAGAGCAATAGATCACTACTGAGAAGATGTCATATTGTTCCGAGAACCTACACAAAGAAAACTGAATTCGTTAGTTACTTGTTAGTTAACAAAGTTGTAATAAGAAATGAGAAAACATACATACCAAGCGACTCAAGAAACGCAACTTCTTCTAACATAAAAAGACAAACAATACATAAACAGACAACAAAAAGACAACGACATCAAACCAACAATTTAGTGTTACTTTTGGACAAAGACAAAAACAATAACACAATTGTAAGATTCATGCAAAGTAGTAACCAGCAAGTAAAATTGGTAAAATCAAACAGAAGCAATGCTCTTTAATGTCCATGGACCATGGATCCAAATCTCCGACTCAGGAATCTATGCATAAGCTAAAAAATCTCTAATTCTAACCAATAGAGTGAGCATTAACCAGATCCGCAAAATGTCAATCACAAGCAAATTCACAATTAGATCCAAAGACAATGCAAAATTCTAGATTTGTACAAGGAATTCTGGTAAACTAAATCCAAAATTCATGCAAAAGTAAGCAACGCATCAATAGTAAAGCAGAATTTATCAATCCACGAAGCAACAAAAACAATGACATAAGAACCAACAATTAAGACATATATAAAGACAAGAATTCTAGAATCAGGGTCACAACAAAGGATATGGTTTAGATGAACATACCTCGAAGGAAGAAGTTATGTCACTCCAGCTCCATTTAATCAATTTGTAGCTCACATTACTTCAGTTTCCCTTAATTTTGCTGAAACTTATAAGCTCTCATAAGAACCAGCACTTGTATCTATATCTTGAATTTGATTGCTTCATCAAACAGAATGTAACACCAAGATCCACACAAATAAACACACTCTATAACAACACAGAGTTGGAAACAAGAACTTGTCAGTGTAATCATCAATTGAGACACTATGAATCAGAACTACACTAAAGTTTTTACAATGTTGTAGTCACTAATCAAACTATGATTCGCATATATAAAGACACGATCCATTTCAAGACGAGCATTCCTTTTCCAAGAAAGGTCCTTCTCTTCGGTAGGACCTAAACCAGAGATCTTCCTTTGGTCTAAAACCTCTAAAGCTTTAGACTACGGTTCACACTTATCCAGAACATTTCTGGCTATTTCCAGCGGGTTCATATTCGGTTATGAGTCGATCACCGATCGGTTTTTTAACTAAACCGAAGTATTAAAAATAAACCCTAAAAGCTAAAAACACACTCACTTTCTCATTTCTTAAACCCTAATTTCGACGCCTCCTCTCTTCGTTTGCTCTTCACGCCTCTCTCTCAAACCTCAACGAGGAAGGCTCAACAAGGTAACATTGCCTCCTTTATCTCATCTGTTTCTTCTTCCATGTTTACTCATCTCTTCCCCGTTTTTGATTTCAGTGACAACAGTATGGCCAGAAGACGCAATCCCGACAAGGATCGACGCACTCCCGACATGGATCCGGTGGTTTGGAGTAAGTGCTTTTTGCTCTTAAATACTAGTTGATTAGGGTTTTCCTTAATTCGGAGAATCAGTGGGCTTTAGCTTAATTAGGCGGTTTTAAGGCCTGATAGATACTTTTACGGGTTGATGATTAGTGTTTTGTATAAACTTTAGTATTAATTTTGGTGGGTTTTATTAGCTTAATTAGGCTTATACGGGTTTTAAGCCTTTGGGCTTTAGCCTCTTTAGGCTTAACTAGGGTTAGAGGTTAATTAATCTCTCTGTTGTTTCTTCTATCCACAGGTGTGCGTGTGCATCCAGGAAGACGCGTCCGAATAAGAATTGATAGAGGAGGGTTTGTCAATATACAACGAGTTTGTTTTACTGGTCTCGAGGAGGAGGCTGCTGCTGATGTCCCTCCTGCTGATGTCCCTCCTGCTGATGTCCAACCTTTTCAGGTTTTCTTCAGCAGAATCAGAGACAGGAATGTCACTCAGCAACTGATTACATGAGGGAATAAAAATAGACATATCAGAATAAAAATAAAAGAAAGTAAGAAGGATGAAAACATGTTAGATAGAAACATACTCGATAGAAGCTAGTAACCGTAGAGATCTACGGGATATGGTAGTTCGTAGTGGCCACCCGAAAGCCACTACGAACTACCATATCCCGTAGATCTCTACGGTTACTAGCTTCTATTGGGTATGTTTCTATCTAACATGTTTTCATCCTTTTTACTTTCTTTTATTTTTATTCTGATATGTTTCTTTCTCTTTTGGATCACAAAACTGCGACTCCTTCATGTAACTCTCCGAAGAGCTGACCATTTGCGCCCAGTTTTTGTTAATTCACGATTTGCACTGGTCATACTTCTCTTCTTTCTTTTCTTTCTAAATCATCTACAATTTATAAATGGTAGATGATTTATGTTTCTTTTTTTTATCCAGCGCATTTCCAGCCGAGAAGATGTTGCAGTTGATGGCTGAACACTGCAGATCGATGAAGAGGTTTGTCTACATTGATGAACGAGTAACAGGGAAGAGAAGAATTGCTAAGCACTCTACTCTATTGGAGTTTGTTAATAATTGTGGGCAAATAGAGTCTCTAACTCTTGGTGGCATCAAAATCGCAGATTCTGACTTGGCCCTCATTCTCCAGGTAATATGCTTGATTTTCATAGTAACTTTTAGATACAAAATCTTATTCATATTTTCTGATTTTGTAGAACTTTACACGTCTTACCACTCTCGATCTAAGTGGATCTATTGGTTTCATAGGCTCTTTCCTATCGTGAGCATTTCTTCTACTTCCATAGTCTCTATTACTTTCAATTATTTTTCTGATTTTTGTTTATGTTTTCAATTAACAGCAATGTAGATGCTCAAGTACCACTTGCCATTCTAGTACTCCGAGAATGCACAAGTATCTCCCAGCATGGTCTTAATCACTTTCTCATTCATCTACTTCAACATGATAACCACTATCCCAATTTTATGAGAATAGTAAGCAACTTTCTCTTAGTGCTTAGCTTTCTTTGTTATTGGCTATTAACTTTCTGATTTTCCTTTCTTTTCAAGGTCGTACCCGAGAAACTTCAACACTGGGAGTCTTACTTTGCTGGGGCTAGGAGGAAATGTGGATATCCAGATCGCATTCACAGAGTCAACAGTGCGCTGGGAGACCGGACGTCAAGCTGTTACACAGGCAGTAGATGGTACCATTGCTGAGGCTTTGAAGTCTGATGATGGAGCTTTTGTTGATCCGGTCGATAGCGATGGTGAAAGAGATCCAGCCGACCGTAGGAATTAGTAATTACTCTGTTCAAGGTAATATTAACTTCTGCCTTGGGTTTAGTTTGTCTAAAAAATGGTTCAAACTAGAATATGGCCGATTAGATTTCATATAGTGTGACAAGGTTCAATCCTTTCTGATAATTTTCCTGTTTGAGGTTGAGTTATGCATATAGCACTCGGCCGATGAAGTAGATGAATAAAGTCACTCTCTTGTATTTAAGCTAGTGTCAAAGCTAAATTGCTAACTTTTGGAAGCATTATCTTCTCTGGGTTGAATTTTTGCTTGTTGGTTTCAGTCTTATGTATGGCTCTTTGGATTATAACCTGAATCATATTCTGCCTATTTTGTTTGCATTTTTCTTGTATCAAGTCCTTATAATACATAGCATACTGTGGTATTCTATTTATATATGGAGGGTTGCTCAGAGATTTACTGATCTATATGTGTGGCTGTATGTTCTGTTCATGAATCCATGTTTTTGCAGAGCTTTCCTAATGATTTCTTTTCCAGTTGTTTTTTTTCTTTTCCAGTTGAAACTATGTTCAGAATGGAACCGCAATGAGACTTGATTCTTTGAGAAGACTTTCTATCCATCCATGTCCGGATCCTGACAGATAATCAAGTCTGAATTTTAGGATTTTTGGCTTATAATCATACATTTGAGTCTTCTAGCTTTACATTGGAAGAAAACTATGGGATTTTTTATTTCATCAAAGCCTCTGGAAAAAGGCATAGTATATATATAATTTAAGACTTGATTTTTGGCTTTGGCTGCTTCAAGTAAGTTCTCACTGATTGATCGTCACTCTTAAATACGTCAAAAGAACATCTCCACTATAGTAAGAAAATAGTCAACCAAAGTCAGAGAAGGTTTTGTGAAATCTTAATCTTCAAGACCTTCTATATGCTTTATTCTGATATTCTCTCTAACAACTCAATGTTGTCACTGGAGACCAACCATCACAACACACCGACACATGTTGTCACTGGAGAAATTGTGTTATTTGTCAACAGAACAAGTACGAGTTGGCCGCAAAACCTGGCTTGCTGCAGCCGTTACCTGTTCCTCAAGGTGTTTGGGAGTCTATAAGCCTCAACTTCATTGAAGGTCTCCCGCCTTCTGCCAGCAAGCATTGTATCTTCAGTGATGCTGAGACATGAGCTTCTTGCACGATGCGAAGAGCTAGAGATCAGAACGAGTGAGAGGGATTTGAGCACCCAAGCAGCTGATACCGCCAACAAGCAGCAGTTTAGATAGCATAAAGAAATTGGCGAAACTCGAGGCTGAATGCAGGAAGCTTCGGATGTTGGCTAAATCATGAGCTTCATTTAATGATCATCGATCTACAGATAGTCATTCCGATGGAGGGGAAAAAATGGAGATGAGCTGCTCTAAATCATGGTCATCATCCGCATTGGTTGAAATAAGAAGCCTTCATGGAACTTCTTCTTCCATTGAAATTGACTCATGGATGATTTTCTTGAGATGGAACGTCTTGTAGCATTTCCCGAGACCCTAGATGGGAGCGGTAAGAGTGGACCTGAATCTGTAACAGGAGAGGCTGTTGTTGGCTGCTGAAACAGAAGTATCAACGTCTCTAACTAAGGAACTTGAAGAAAAGTTGGAGAAGTTAGAAGAGGAGAAAAGTGAGGTAGAAAATGAAGTTAAATGTAACAGAGAAGAGGTTTTTGTTCACGTGGAAAACTCGTTGGCTGCTGAAATAGAAGTATTGACTTACCCAATTAAGCAACTTGAAGAGAAGTTGGAGAAAGTATAAGCAGTGAAAGAGGAGCTCGAAAGTGAAGTTAAATGTAACAGAGAAGAGGCTGGTATTCAGATCAAAAACTCGTTGGCTGCTGAAGTAGAAGTATTGACTTGCCGAATTAAGCAACTTGAAGTGAAGTTAGAGAAGTTGGAAGCAGAGAAAGATGAGCTCAAAAGGGAAGTAAAATGTAACAGAGAAGTGGAGAGCACATTGAGATTGGAGCTCGAAGCTATTGCTTGTGATAAAATGGAGCAGGATGAAGTTTTAGAAAGCTGAACTGGAAATATCTTTTGACATAATCAAAAATAAATATAAAGAATCTCAATTTTGTCTGCTAGAAATTGAGACGAAGCTGAAAGAGACAAAAAAACAGAGATGAAACTGGTTAACAAACTAAAAGCTGAAGTTGAATCTCAAATGGAAGCAGAGGCAAAGACATGATTTGCAAAGAGGAGTACTGTGGCTTTTTTACTTTTCAGATTCATACGATCCCTCTTCCCCAAGGTTTCTTTCTCAGCTGCAAAGAGGAGTACTGTGGCCTTTGTTAACTATCCGAATGATCATATACTTTTTCGTCATGATTGGTACGTAATTTGCTTCACACGCTTCTTCTCTTAAACTTTTGCCTGGCTAGAAGATAAAAATATATATCTCAACTTGTGTATGTTTCGATCGTGTTCAGGTTCTGCTATGTGAAAGCCCCTGACGGTAAAAGTGCAAGACTTGTTAGCTCGCAGGTCAGGGTCCTTTGCTTTTGCTGACCTTACTAATGATACCTTTGCATCAACGAAATTCTTGAGTTGATTGCTGCTAACTTTTTTTTATTTTATTTTTGTGTGTGTGTGGCAGGAGTGTGGACCTCGTTTCTCACTCAAGTTATTGACGTTAGAGAAGATAACAATTTGACACAAGGTAATCACCGCAACACTGATTTGTCTGATAATGAGTTTCTTTTCTCGAGAAGCCCTAACTTAAGACATTGCTTTCTCTTTTGTTGTCTTGCCAAGTCGCTGCCGGCTAGACGTTGAAAGGCTATATTATGAAATCAGCTTTGCTTCTTACAATGGTAAACCAGTGTGTGCGTATTTCGTCTAATGTTTCTTTCCTCTTTCTGTTTTTTTTTTCGCAACAAAAACAATCGGTTATTTGTCTTGTTGTCGATTAATTTATGTTTATGTTAGTACACTAGTAGTGTGTTCTCCTCTTGGATGGATCCTTTTTCCTCGTATTTTAAGAAGCTAATGTGGCTACTGAGTCCTCATATGGGACCGAAATTTAGTAGACTTTTAGTATTCAGATTCATAGAATCAATAACAAGACAATTCGTCTCATTACCCCTTATCCATGGCTAGGCTACAAGAGTTATCAGAATTGACAAAAGGATTACAAGTGTGGAAATCTTGACAGATTTGTGATTTCAGGTGAGAGTTTTGGTATATGCAATTATCTAAGTGTGGGAGTGAGTATAGTAAATGTGTAAAGGAGTTGAATCCTTGGTCATGTCTAAGTGCAGACGAGTGTGCAGAGGTCTTGTGTCCTGGCTTGTGAGATATTGGTGTAAGGAAATATCCGGAACTTTCCATTGGCCATGCACGTTAGTGTTAGCTGAGCATCACTCACCATTGCCTGTCATATTCACATATAGTTTTTACAATGTTGTATCACTTTAGACTCGAATCCTAGAATCAGGGTCACAACAAAGGTTATGGTTTAAATGAATATACCTCGCAGGAAGTAGTCATGTCACTGCAGCTCCATCTATTGGTTGGAACACAGTCAACATAGCGACACCAATGGCAATGACGGTTAAGATTGACGCCCCAGCACACTGCTAATAGAACCCCAGCAAGCCTAATGAACAGAGATGGATAAGCTTTTACATGTCATGCGAGCGCAGAGAGAACAAAAAGCTAGACCAAAAAGAGATTTAAGAGAAATTCTCACATTCCACAAAACACGACCAGGCATATAATCCGTAACACCGGTCTATCAAACTGATCTTTAAGCCTTGTGGATCTGTTCGTATCATCTTCAAACAATTTTCCCTTATGAGATGGAGGCATCTGTCTCAGTTGTGGTTTGAACAATAGCACAAATCCAAGGAGGAATCCTGATATGAAACCACCAATATTTGCAAAATTGTCTATGAAAGGGAGAAAGCCTATCAGGATATTCACAGTGAAGATAGTGAATATTATCACCAAGGCTGAAATCTGTAGCAGTAAACAAAAAACAAACACAATCAGCAAAAGGAATGAAAAGAAGATAATGAAGGACAAAATCGAACAAAAGAAATCCTTGACCTTGCCGGTATATAGATTCCAGTTCTTTGCAAGTGCAGAAAGCATGGCTCCAATCAACCCAAAGAAAGCAGCACCAGAAGAGATTGATGAGATGTTTCGAACAAACAACACAGCAAACAGACTACCCATAATGCCAGAGAGTAGGTATATGACTGCAATCCTCACTACAAGACCAAAGCAAAAGCAAAAGAAAGCTGGATTATAAAGGTAATAGATTCCATCCAAAACAGATTAGGTGAAGTAACCAAAAGTCAAGCAGTCTCATTTACATGGTCCAAATTGTTGCTCCATGTATATCCCTACGAAAATCAAACTCCCAAGATTTATGAATAGATGAAACAATCCACTGTGCAGCCACGGAGATGTCAAAATACGCCAAATCTCATGATTCTCTGTCAGAGTATTCCAAGAAAGACCTCCCATATGCTCTAACCTGCAAACTCACAAGAAAATAAGAAGTCCACAGCTTAAAATCAATCATCTGGTAACTCAAATTCGGCCTGTTTCCCTCGATTTTCGGAAACTTAGAGCTCTCATAAGAACCAGCACTTCATCTAACTCGAATTTGATAGCTTCATCTACAGAATGTAGCACCAAGATCCACACAAATAAACACACTCTAGAACAACACAGAGTTGGAAACAAGAACTTGCCACTGTAATCAAAGATCGAGAAACTATGAATCAGCTGAAACTCATCGATTGTGAAAATTAGTATCATCCAAATCAACAAACTCCATTCAGCTATCGTTACTGATACTAAAGATGAGCACAACGAAGCATCCAAAATTCATCTCTAAAGGATCAAACAAATTCAATTAGAGATCGATTCCACAAACAGGTACTAGCAGAGACCAAAAGCAAAATCCGCCGGAGAGAGCTACTTACGTTGAGGCGGAGGGACCGAGCATAGGATTCTCGGAGAGAGGCTGGAAAGAGAATCGGCCAAGGAGTTTGGCGGCGCAGTGACCGTGAGAGTTTCTGGAGCAATCGTTGACGCCCATAGTTACAGCGAAGAGGACGATCTGAAGAAGAACGAAGACGGAGACAAGCCAAGTGTCTCGTTTGATTTGCCGTGAACGGTGACGGAAGAAGGAGATTTTGTCCCAGCTAGAATCGCCGGCGTTGGAAGTGGAAAACGAGAGATTGTGAGAGATTTCATCGATCTGCGTCGTCTTTGGCTCTGTAGGAACCTCCATTGTTGAAGTGAGCGAGAAATTAGGGATTGATGACGAATGGGTTGTTTTATACTTTGTAGAAAGTGGCGGGAAAATGTAATTGGAGAGCAAACCGAACGATAACCATTTTAAGATCCGGTTCGGAATTGATTTAGAGCGCGTGTACCTATTGCTATACACGTCATTACTTTTTTTTTCTTCTCACAATTATTTTCTCTTTGATTTTCTCACAATTATTTTCTCTTTGATTGTCGGGAATTAAACTCAAATCGAATTAAACAAGAAATAGCTGGATTGCTTTATCAACGCATTTGATTCTGTAATTTATCTTTATTTAAAAAGATTCAGTGAACTGCCTCGTCTTGGCTGCTTTTCTTGGTAAGATTCAGAACATATAAATATTAGTATCATTAACTTTAAGCCAATAATTAATATTTTCAAGCAAAGAATGTATAGTGTTTGTGGAATGCACGCAACGAATGATTCGTGTATTAACTTAATTTCTACTCTTATATATTTGGCGACGGTTAGTTTGGTTCGTGTCTAATATGACAAGTGATCCACAAAGCTAATGTTAATAATAATACTCTTTTAGTATTTTTCTGGTTAAACAAATGCTATATAATATCATCGTATCTCTATGGTCGTTTCGATTTATAATGCTAAATGGATTAAGAAGTGGTCAATATTTGTCTTGACATCAACCCTGAAAAATAAGTTCATAATCATATCCAAATTATTCGTTAAATAATGTTAATATACGATGCTAATTTATCTTATAGTCAACCAAAAAGGTAAATTCAGATTGTTTAGGGGCATAAATGTAAATATAGAGGATTGTAACTTTGAGATTTATGGTAGTTATCATACATAAGCTGAGAAAGAGAGCCAATTGTTATTTTCTAACATTGCTCTGCTCAAAGACAACGGATCTCTCTTCTTCTTCTTCGAATCTTTTTTTTTTTTCGATTTTTAAATCTTCTCAAAACACGATACATCTTTCCTTGAATTTATTAGAAGATTTTCTAGAGACTTTTTGAGCTATTCTTGTGGAAATAATTTAAAGATATGGGAGATGAAGATTGGATAGAATTGAAGTTCAGACTCGCAGATGGCACTGACATTGGTCCAAGCAAATATAGTCAACTCATGACTGTTGCATCTCTTAAAGAGAAAATCATTGCACAATGGCCTAAAGGTAAATCCTTTCCTATGTTTCTTCTCAAAAGTTTTGCAATTTGTTTAAAGGTGAAGTTGAAAATCTTGTTGTGGGCAGACAAAGAAAACGCACCAAAGTTGATAAATGAGGTTAAGCTCATCAATGGTGGGAAGATACTGGAGAACAACACAACACTTTCTGAAGCAAGGTCATTACCTATTTGTGAACTTCCTGGAATTGTAACTACAATGCATGTTGTTCTTCGTCCTCCTCTCTTTGAGAAGAAAAAAGGTAATTTTAAAACATTTTCTCTTCAATTCTTGAGTGTTTTTTTTGTGTATTTTTTGTATATCTTAAAGTTTTTGTTTTGTGTGTTTTGTTTGTTTGTTTAGAGAAACTGCAGAATGATCCTCCAATGAAGAGTCACTGTGTATGCTGCATTTTGTAGCTCCACTTAGAGATTTTTGATCCTTTTACATAATTTATTCCATTGGAAAAAACTTTACATAGCTTCAAGTCTTCAACATGGATCTTCATTACCAGAATGAATTTGGTTTTTTCTTTTCTTTTTCTTCTTCATTGTTTATCAAAAATGGCTTGAGAAAAATTACTGTGTTGTTGAAGATTGAGTTATTGTATAAATTTGTTCATAGGAGTGAAAAGCAATTAAACAGGAGTTACTTGGTAATGAAAGGACATGTTATCATAATCTTTGATATTGGGAATATGAGTTTCCACATAGTAGTACAAGGAGATAACTACCAATTTAGAGCACTATATAAGTATTTTGGGGCACCTGCAACATTCCTAGAGATGTATATCCATCCACGGAGTAACAACTACTCCAACTTTTATCTGTTGTGATCACTAATCTTCACACAAGCTTGAGCATTTCCTCAATAAGATTGTTTATGGCTCTATGCTTCATCATCACCATGTTTGCTTCAAGGGTTTCAGAAACTGATGATTAAATTACTACTAGTGCGTATGTGTTTTTCTTTAAGCATATTTATCTGGAAGCTTGCTCTGACTATACACATCTACTAAATCAGCACATGCATTGTGGAAGGTTGTAGGGTAAGTTTTGATTAGAAAGGGACACCATTTTATGGCCTTGAGATGGACAGTAGGTCCACTTTCAGTTAATGGGTGAGGAAAATGATGGTATGACATTACAATGTGACATAACATGAGTTGCTTTCAATCGACCTATATAGTACACTAAGATTATTATGGATGACTAGTTCTGAAAATCACCCCTTTTTTTTTTTTTGCTTTTGTCCTTCAAGTGCCTACTTCTCTGTTTTTCCAGCCTAGTTAAAACTAGTAACCACAACTCAGTAAATCAACATGGTGTAATCAAGAATTGGCAATGGCAATTGCGTGCTCTCACAACGTCATATGCATTATGCTTTAAGCCGTAGTAGACATTCCTTCATCATATAGAAAACAAAAATGATATGGGAGATATGGCATACTAACCTTTTCAGCTTCAGATCTGCTACTCAAGACTATCATCTTCTTCTTCTTCTTCTTCTTCATCTTCTTGTTCCTCAATTTCTCTCTAGTGGTCGGCAATTGTGTCGAATAAGAAAATAGATCGGATTGATTCTAATGGGCCTTTTAACTTAACAAGCCCACGGCTCTGCATTAGCCCACTTTCTTAACTCACGGAAGGAGTTTTATTAAACTTAATTGTACTGTATTTTACTCCAAAAAACAAAATGTTGTTATTTAAAATAAAATAAAATATTACCTTTTTAACTATTAAAGAAGCAAACGTTATGCTGCTGAAAAAAGAGGTGCAAATTTTCTTTATTATTTTTTGTTACGGTTTTCTAATGCAAATTTTTAAAATATTTTTAAGAAAACAGTAAAAAAAACGTCTTAACAAACTTGTTAACCCACTTGGTAGATATTTCTGTTTTTTTTATCTCATTAGCCATGTCCATACTGTTGTATGATGGCGATATTCAATTTTCGTCCAAAAAATATGATAAAAGCTTATTTAAAATCCGACCACTTTGCGAATGGGGTATACGTACGTACGAACGATGAGATAAGGATTCTCTTCTATAATTCTATTGCTCCTATAATCTCCTATAGTTAATTTTCCCTTTTTTTTTATTTTCTCGTAGTTGCCTTACGTGTTTAAACACCCACATTATATACCCTAAAATCAAAGGTCTAGTATAATATAATCACTCACTTTGTATACTAAACTAGTCTTTTTTTTTTTTTTTGGGCAAAATATACTAAACTAGTCTAGTTCACGAATAATTGCATTAATTAAACTGGCTATACCCCATTCGAAGGTGGGATTTGGAAACTAATAAACAAATTAAAAGAAATGTAATTAATTAAACATCCATTTGACAGAACTAAAAGCTTAAATTAAATAAATAACCACCCTGCCCACAATCCATAAGGCAATGATGTTTCCCATTTTCTAATACCAAGTGGTTTTTAATTAACGTATATGAATCTTGTGTTTTACATTCATTATCTACATCTGGGCCATGTTTGTTATTAAAGTTGTTCTGCAAAACTATATCAAAATTAAAAGTTGATCTGAAGAAACAGTGCGTAGTCCCTACTAATAAACATTTGTTTTCTGTCGTTAAATTTCATATCGCATAATATTGTTTGTCTAGCTAACTTAAACTTCTGACGTAAATGATGACATAACCAAAACTAGTTAGATGACTATTATTAACACAAGAACACTGAGGATTAGTACTATTCAACTCAAGATCTTATATAACTAAAGTAGATTAGCAATTTAGCACTATGATTAGAAGTGACCCCATGTTAGATATTTTTAATTTAAGCATATACACCAATACATGTACTATGCATATTAGAATTCAACTGTTGATGCAATAACGATAACGATACAAACTACTAAACTACTTTTTTGTCCCTTTAATGTTATGATATAAATGCAAGTTGCTTAGTGTGTTGTTGCCTGATTTACTTGGACGATTATTTTTGACTTAAAAAACGATTCTCTTCTAATAGAATAAAACGTTGTAATTGTTATTTATAGATCTTGGCGCAGCCAGGCAGCCTCCTCGTGTTATTCCACACTTAACTTTATAGGCAAATATTCCCTCACTCTTTAACTTATGTTTGTATATACATTTAAGGAAGCTGGAGAGTACCTTCTATGTTAATATAAACTAAGTTAGAATTTGCAATCGATTTTCAAAGATGCAAAAGTGATTCAAAAAGCTTTATAATTATAATTTTTGTGTCACAAAGAATGTTGTTTATTATTTTCATGTTGATTTCAGTTTTTGTTTGAAAATTTTAGTTTTTAATTTCAGTTTCCTTTAACAATGTATTTTCCTACATCTACAGAAATATTTGCTTATTGTGTTCTTATCGATAACAACATTTTTTGTTCCACATGATTTTTTCACAAAATTTCATCGTATTTTCGATGTGGAATTTTTGACACCAACAAAATTATGTGGAAGTGTTTTGTGTTTTATTTTCAGCGTCAAAATGATTATGAATTTTGTTTGTTCGTCGAGACTTTCGACTTGATCATAATTGACACTTCGAAGTTGACACACGTGGTGAATACAACTGAAAATGTCGATCGAATACTGTTGTATATTGCTCTTTTGCCGAAAGACATAACTGGAGTTAGTATCGGATCATTGACATTTTCAAACGAATAAAGAATATATCGAACAATATCTGATGTTACCGCTCAAATAATTAGATTGTGCGACAACAAAATTGTCTGAATTATCCAGAAATGAAACCACATTATAAGAAACGTGACGAAAAACACAAACAGGGCTCAGACAAATAAAAAATATAAAGCAAACGAAAAAGTGAGAAATGCTCATTAAAATGGTTATACTATAGTCTATATTAGATGAGTGTGAAGTCCACTACCAGCAATCGGATATATGATAGGAATAAAATAGAATAAAGATTTGGCATATAGTTTAGGTATACACTTAAATTAAAACTATATGTTCTTGGCTTCTTAATTTGGACACGTTTATGGATATTGTGGTCGATTCGATTATCATTTGGAATCTAAATTGGCGGCCGAGTCAGATCCCTCTTAGGCCATCTCCAATACATTCTTGGATTATCACTCGAATCTTGAGACTTTTTGTTTATTAATTGTTTTCATTCTTTGTAATAGCCATCATACTTTACTACGATCAATTATTTTTTTAGTTCCCGTTATGAATCCATAGCGTTTGTTAAATTATAAAAACAAATTTGTATTTTTATATTATTGAACCAAAATCTAAAATCAAATGTGTATGCGCTTTCAAAATCTCAAGGCAAAGTGTAGTTGCTAATTATTTTTTAATATAGCAAAGTCAGGATTAAAGTAATTTGTTTGATCAACAAAAATAGTATTTCATGACAGCAGATATCCATATCCAATTCAAATATAGATTTAAGTTATAAATTAACTAGCTAGTGATTTTCTACTCTGTCCTGACCAAATATAATAGTTGTGTGGTTCGAGTCATCATTTTGCCAATTCAGACCCTGTTCTAAAAATCTCCGCCTAATCCGATTACTCTCCGCTTAATCACTAGGCCACCATATCCGCCTCGATTAATGACTAATCTCCTAAAAAAATCAGTTACCTGATTAGTCTGCGCCTAATCCGATTACTTTCCGCGTAATCCGATTACTCTCCGCCTAATCTTATATATTCCGATTATTTTTAGATTACAAGTATAAAAAAACTTTTTGTTTTTGTTATTCAATCATTTGAATTGGGAGTTTGTGATGTTTTACAATAACTTATGTTCAAATTTTAATAAAAATCATAATTTTTAATAAAAATCATAAAATTTTGTCTCAAAAATATATTTTAATATGTTTACTACAATTTTGAAAACAATATTAGATTAATATGTTTCTAAAATATTAAAATATTAATCCCCGATTTTAATCAGATTTTCCGATTAATCGCTAGGCCCATGCCGAGCGCCCGACTAGCGCCCGACTAGCGCCTAGCAATTTTCAAACAAGGATTCAGACTATGTTTTTCATCACCATAAACCATGTATAATTTATATCGTATCTAAGTTACAAATTTTTTTTTTTTTTGACGTATGCAACTAAATTCAGAACGATCCTTGATACATTTAATACTTATTTACAAAACCTATATGGAAAATGTACTCAAAATTTTAATTATGGGTGAACGATACAATTTCTACCTGACTTCGATCAACTTTACGTCGATTGCTGATTGTTGTGCCCTTTTCACAATTTTGATCATCCCTTCGAGTTTATCATGGATTAAGAAAATATATTTGCAAACTTTTTTTTTTTTTGGGCAAACATATTTGCAAACTATAGTCATCTTTTTAGTAGATAATTTTGGATTGATTTTTAGTCAAAAGGAAATACCGATGGGTCCATTAAAAAAAGAAAAATATTAGAGAAGTCATAACAACTACTGTTCAAAAAATCGGCCGCCTAGCCGCCTAGGCGGCCGCCTAGTCGGTGATCGGCAGTCAACCGCCGCGATTTTAATCAAATCGGACTATTTAATCGGTAAACCGATTTTGCGGCCGTTTAATAATTAAACGTTGAAAATCGGTTAAAAGTCACCGATTTATTATAAAATTTTATACTGAATTTTGACCAAAACTCAAAAATTGATTGGGCCTACATAAGCCCACACGAGCTATACTATAACAAATTGAAACAATTAGTAGGGTCATTTATAAGAAGTCGATTCCATGCTTCCTTCCTACTATTACCGATGTGGGACTTTGTGATTTTGAGTTTTGTAGAGATACTACTTTCACATAACGTGGCAACTGACAAGTGATATCAATTCAGTAGTCAAATTAATAATTTGAATATATTTAAGTTCTTTATTTTTTTTTCCACCAAAATCTATTTATTGGTGGTCACTATATTTAGGTTCATATATTTTTTTTTAACGTGGATGTCATTTAGTTATTATTAGTGACCGTTCAAATCTGATACTTTGTTCTTTATCGTCCATATATTTAAGTTTCAAATAAGTTATTTAAACTAACAAACTGTTTTCATATTAATAATAGATGATATTAGTCAAATGTACATATATTATATTTGATACATATATGTATTTTGAATATATATAATTAGGATGAATGTCAATTTGATGTGAAATTAAATTCGCAAAATTGATGATAGATGTTTTAAACTTTTTTCATGGTTTTTGTTTTATAAATTTTGCAAACATGTTATCAATTGCCTATTTGTATAATAAATTCATAACACTATAAAATTATTATAAAAATAACACTATATAATGATAAAAAACTAATCCCCAATTAATCTTCGATTAATCTCCGATTTTCCGTCTAGCGCGCTAAGCGGTGCCCGGCCGCCCGACTAGCGCCTAGCGATTTTTTGAACATGGATAACAACGACAGCATTTGAGCATAAGATACAGTAAAACAAGACCGAAGTATAATGAAAATTTTAATCTGTCATCATTAACTTTTCTGTCGTTTAGTATGTGAATATTTTGTTTTCACTTTTGAATAATTTGAAGGATACTGAGAATTTCAATTTCTAATTAGTAACCGATAAAGTAGATGGTAATTAAATTCACGTCATATCCATGAACGAATGTCAAAATTTTGTCTTGTAAGTAAATTCGTTGGAGTTCGATTCTTCTTTTGTTCTTACTTCTTACACTTACACAATCAAATATTTTTCTTACATTTTTTTTTACTTAACATTAACCTATATTTCTCATATCTTCGATTGTTTTTCCTAAACAAAATTAACGTTTATTGTTTTGAAAAATACACATTTAACAAATATATAACAACATATATTTATATTTATGAAAAAGAGATGCATACGTATATGAGGTGGCAAACAAAGCCACTAAATTCAGTAAAATGGAACCCACGAAATTTATCTATAAATAAGTCCCCAAACCTCTCCCCCAAAAATGCAACAACACTCATCTTTCTTTCCCAATATAAGTTTTTATTACCTAACAGCAACTTTTGTTTCTCAAAACATAATTTTGTCTTATTTCCTAAATTGGTAAAAGATGTCGCTAGCTATCGCAGAAGTTTACACGGTGAGGAAGTTTCACGGAGAGAGTATGAAGAAACCGGCCAAACCGACGGTTACCGGCGAGGGAGATGAAAAGAATGGCGGAGGAAGTTTCAAGGAGGCGCCGGTGAAATCTGGTGGTAGTAGAAGATTCGGACGGTGGTTTGTTGGAAAGCCGGGAATGAAGAAAAGCTCTGCTAAAGTTTCGGATCCCATGGCGATTGAGTGATAAAGAAGAAACAAAAACTATTCTCTTCTTTGCTTTTTTTCTTTCTTTCTTTATTTTGTTTTTTTTTTCATTGGTCTTTTTTATGGCTTTTTCTAGTGTCTTCTCTTTTTCTTTATTGGATGATTTTATAAATAGTGGGTAACCGTTGTAGAATATGAACTTCAAAATATTTGAGAAATCTATATATGTATGTAGAGTGGATGTATATATAAATTCCCTAAATACCACAGCTAGTTTGATAAGTTTTTATGCCAAACCATATTACACACACATATATACCAAAATACAAACATATGAAGGAAACATATCTCGATTTAGTTTTTAATTGGTTAGCCATTTGACACTTTTGAGTTTAGACATAGTTTTAGTTTAATAATTTATCACTAACGGTACTAACTTTCTTCTTTCTTTCTTTTTACTTCAACTCACATACAAAAATATATCATATAGGGGGTAATTTAGCAATTTAAATAGTTAAAAGGGTGATTTAGTAATTTAAAGAGTTAAAAGACCATTAACGAAAAAGACAAAGAGTTTAGGAGCAAAAAGAAAGAAAGTAAAAAACAAAAGGTCAAAAGTGAAAGAAAAAAAAAAAAAAGAAGAGGAAGGTTCTGTGCACGTAACTTGCTTAAGCTCTCTCTCCGAAATCTTCACGCAATGACTCTCTCCTTCAAATTCATTCCTCCTTCTTCTCTTCTCTTCTCTTCCCGCTTCATCCTCCTCCTACGTACACCGGACGCTACGTTTCTCCGGCGCCGGCGGATTCTGCCGGTTTGTTATCGAACTTTTATGCTCTATGGAATTTCTTTGTTTCGCTATGTACACGAACTTAAGGATTGGTTTAGATTGATGGGAGAATTTTGTTGAATTGACAGATTGATTGCGTTAGATTTGTTGCTTAGCCCTAAGAATTTGGGGGATTTTGGTCTGCTTCGGCGAAGGATCGATGGAGAAATCTAACAAATGTGCTGTTTGTCACAATTCGTTTCGTCCCTCTATCTGTGTAGCTTGTGTTAATCGCGGGTATAAATCAGTTTCTGACAATCTGATAACGCGACTTGGAGTGGAATCTACGAGTTCCAATTTGATGGCACTTTTGTGTAGGTTAAACGAATATAAAGTTACGTTGGACTCGTTGAAGAGCCGTCGGGAGGTTTCGTATTTCAGATTAAGTGGCTTGCTTGTCACAAAGGTTCATTGTTGAGTTTAAGTTTGATATGAAATTCATTTGATTTTCTTGCGTAATGGATGTCTGATGCTTTTTCTCTTCACTATTGACCAGGAGAAAGCAATTAGTCAACATTGTTGGAAGGAGCTTCAGAATGAGAAGCTTGTTAAGTTGCGGGAGAAGCTTCAGCTACAAGTGGAGAAATTGCAGCAAAGTCTGAAGATACTCCTTTAAGTAATTCATTTTTTTCTGGCATCGCCTTCATAATACCAAGGCTAAAATAGACCTACTTTATGATGCAGGCAAAAACACATTTCGGAGTTTATCTCGCAATCTGAAAGAGAGATATGGCATTATCGAATCAACTAACCTTGCTGTAATGTGACACTTTCTTTTTCCATTTGTTGCCTTTTCTCTTAAAAGGGATTTATATGATGCTGATTTTGCCATGAATAATGTAAACAGTCTCATTTCTGCAGTTGGAGAAGAGCCGTGTTCGCCAACTGGAGAACCACTATTCAGATACTATTGGCAATCACTACTTGGTATATGTAAGATCTACATCTCATTATACTTCAATTCTATACTTAAACTAGACCTTCTGCTAGGACTCACATAGTCATTTTCTGTGTCTCACTTTTTTTTTTTAACCCAATCTCACATGTACAGATCGAGCTTACTTCGGAACGCCTTTATAAACAGGCCTTGGTTATGAAACAGATATGCAAATTATTCCCTTTATCCAGGGTAAGGACATCAAAATTTAGGTTCTTATCTTTTAAGTTGTTAAAATACAGGTTTCATAGAATATATAGAGTTCTTTGCCAAAAAGAAGTTGGTAAAACACATCTTGTTTCTTCTAGAGGCAATCTTGGACTCTCTTCAGACTGCTGTGTTATCAAATACATTTTTAGGATGGGTTTACTGAATTTAACTCTGTTCAGGTGACACTAGATGGGCAGAACAAAGATGGGTGTAGCGGTCAGTATGATCAAATCAGCAATGCTCTCTTACCACAAGGTCTTAACCCACTCTCTGTTCCGCCAAAAGAGCTCGCAGCCTCTTTAGGGTAACATGTCCTCGTCTTTAAACTGTCATTTTGCTGCACAGAAATAATTTAAGATATATGTAGATTGTAGATCCATCTCCTAAGTGCATCTTATACTCCTGCAGACCATTTTACTCATAATCATCTATTATATTTGATTTGGTAGTGTGATGAATTAACATTCCCATGGTTGGTGGTTGGATCAGGTACATGGTGCAGCTTCTGAATCTTGTTGTCCATAAGCTCTCAGTGCCTGCACTTCATAACTTGGGTTTCGCGGTAGATGCCAACACATTCTTCACTCAATTTTATTCCTCAGTAACTAAGTCTTGGAAAATCACACATACATTACACACACTCACTGCATGCAATCTTTGCATAGGAAATAAAAATGAGAGATAATTCGTTAATATTGATTATATATTACTTTCATCTGGAAATTGATTAATTGACTACAATAAAGAATCTGTATTATTTTGACTCAGGGGTCTTGTTCAAGAATATGGCAACGAGATTCTTATTGGAACTCTCATCCGTCTTCACCAAGGTAAACCATATTTGACTGATAAGCACTTATAATGGTATAAATAGAGAGGAGGGATAAGAAATTAGAGGTCTTTGACCATTTTTTAGTGGAGATTTGGTAGCCTTTTGTCTCAGGGGGAGAGATTAGGGACTCTATTACAAACCCTCGATTGTTCTTGTACTTTGTTCATTAAGTAATAAAGAGACGTAGGGTCATTGATCTTAAACATTGACATGGCAGGAATTGTTTGTGTCTCCATTAGAGTTAGAGATTTAAACAATCTTTTTGTTTTGTTTTTTTGGCAGCGATAGGTATCCCCTTTTTGTACCATCCCATGATCACTACTCATTTGAAGGGAAAAGTTCATGGACGGGTAAAGATACAACCAATTTTGGTGTCACTTCATTGAAATCAGATGGAAGTGTAGAAGAAGATTATCATGACCTTGAACTTGACGTTGTTAGCCTTTCTTCTGCCTCTCCTCATTCCGTTGAAACATTCAGAAATCTGCAGCAAGGAATTGCACATCTCAAGCAAAGCGTGGCTCACTTGACTGTGTATGGATACAGGTCCCTGTCTCTGGAAGTTCCTTCTGGAACCTCGACTTTTGAAACATTTGCAAAGTTGCTGGCCACATTATCTTCACTCAAGGAAGTTCAGTCTGCTCTTTCCCTTGGGTTGTCAAGGTAAAGCGGCAAATGCTCACATATAATCACATTGTTTCATATGACTATACGAGCTTGAGACTGACATATACAGAAGAAAAGTTTACCTGCCCCTTTATAGCTTTGTATCCAAATTTTAAGACTTCATACTTACACCTCTGATGTTTACAGTTCCAACAAGCAAAGACACGAGCCGAACAAATCCGTGTGGAATTTGAACTCCTCAAGTTCCAGCACTTTACTGAACAGTTCTCATACTCAGCCAACAACGGTATGACTTATGGTTTCTAAGTTCTCATTAGAGTTATGGATACGTCTCAAGGACTAAAACATTAGCTTGTTATGGATGTGTTATGAAGTCCTGATCTGAACTCTACTGGATTGCAGTGGAACAGTAGCTATTATAATGTTCCGAATCGAGATCCCAGCTACATGGTGGAGTCTCCTGATGTTAAAAAGGATAAAAACTCTATTGGTGAATGGAATTTGGTTGAGTACCCTCATTCTTCACATCAACCTAATCATCCCAAGAAGTATTGATCATCTCAAGGTAAACAAGATCTACTTTTGTAATTCATATCGATACAATTATTTTAATACCCGAGATTCACGAAAAAAAATACTACATTTTGCATTTTGGCAGGAACCCAAATTGTCGATATGTTCATACCCAAAGCATCCTCAGTTCTTGGGATACCCTAAAAACCATGAATGGAGCTTATTATTCAAATCTTTGATACCTTCTTCTGTAATTATGAAACACAGATAATTATGTAAATTAGCAATGGCTTCATTCTTTTTTTTTGTTTGAGAGCTATGTCAGTGAAGTAAATATGGTGAAAGAGTCACTGAATTGCCCAATGGAGTTTGATGATAACAATGAAGGTGATGTGTGGCGTGAGAATATCCTCCGGCTTGTTTGGGATTTAAAAGGAAAGGGCACCACAATAACAATTATCAATTAAAAACAAAAATACTCCTTTTTTCTTAGTCACCAAACAAATAATATAAGCTCCTTTTTCGTACCACACAATGGGAACAAAAGCAATGATAAGAGAAGAAGCCCATCACCTTCCTTTGCTTTTAAATTATTCATAATTGATGAAAACCAAAAAAAAAAAAAATTATCACATTTTTATTTTCTTTAATTTGAAGATATATTAGAGACATAATATCAAGATTTTATATTATTAATCGTATAAATTTGTGTTAGCTTTAAGATTTTTAGTATAAGTTTATTATTTATTAATTATGTGGTTTGTCTGTATGTTTAACCAACATAAAAGAATCTGTTTTCATTTTTTTGGAATGCGAAATAAGAGAATCAATCTCAGTTCCGTTCAAGTTCGAATCTTTGAACGACATGCCGTTCATATAAAAGGAACTATAGTATACAAATATAAATGCCTCCTTTAATAGATTTTCTTATATTCCTTCTTTGTTTTGTAATATATGGAGAATATTTACTCTGTAGTATTCTCCGTGAAGCAATTTTACAAATATTCGAATTCTATTTTTTCCTTTTTTTTGAACGTCTGATGATCATTCGTGCACAAGAATCTCATCAGGGCATGATAGGTTCGAAAATTTTGATTTGCTCAGTATACGATATTTCTTTGATTATTCTTCCTTCGATTGTTTTCAAGTGTATTTTCTAATTACTATTTTTTTCAAGCAACGGGCAACAAACAGAAACTATTTCTGGTGCAAAATATAGTAGAATGCAATTCATAATAATCATGAAAGATGGATTTTTTAAAGTGAATTTGAGAAGAATGTAAGAAATAAGAGATTAATAAAAAGGTACGGAGAAGATAACGGGAAAAGCAATAAAATGCATAACTTTTGCAGTCATAACCAAAAAAGGAGAAAGAAGATAATGAAAATGAAGATCGGTGTCTTCGTGATGAATTAAAGTAGAACTGTGTGTAAGTAACTTTTGTTTTGTACACTATCTTTTCTCTTCCTCAACTATAACACATTAACACGTAACAATGATATCTCTCTAACGCATGCATATTGATACATATCATACATTATAGTCTATATATATATGAATAACGGGTATTTTCTGAAATTTTCAAATGATATATATACTGCTAATCTAAAATTAAAGTTACCTCAGTTCTTGATCAGGAATTATGTTATATCGGTAAGTTTTAAAAAACTTCGATTTACCAGTAAATCAAGCCGAACTATATGATCTTTCGCGATGCCAATTGATATTCTGACATGTTCAAACAATATTGTTTCTTTTCTTAGTATTTATTTATTTGCGTATCACCGCACCGATTCATAATTTATCATATTATATGGGAAAAACAATATAGCGGGACTCTTTATTAAAGTAAAACCAAGAGAGGAAATAAAGCTTAATAGAAAAATAAACAGACTAATTAAGATTCCTGATTTAAAAATAAATGAGAGATTTTAAAATGTTATCTTTTGTGTTTGGTAGGCCATTAAAGCTCCAATTATTTGTGTCAGGGAAGGAGACTAAGCATAAAGACGCCACTGCGCAACTCTTACTCCTTCCGTTTCGTTTTAGTTGTCGTTTAAGATTTTCTCACACCAATTAAGAAAAACATTAAATTTTTTATTTTACCCTTTATTAATATATCTTATAAATTTTTTCATTGGCCAAAACATTAAAACAATAGGAATAATACTAGAAATTTTACCAAACATTTGCATTGAAAACCTAAAACGATAACTATTACGAAACAAAATTAAGTCATAAAACGAAACAGAGGGAGTAGTATTTTTACTATCTCCAACAATGAGATACTCTTTGAGTTTTTCAAACTAAAAAAAAAAATATTTTAATAAATTTCAGTTATATAATTATTTTTTACTTATAAACATAAAATTGAACCAATAGATTTGAAACATGTGGTTTAGTGGGTTTCTCATAATTTTTCATTTGAGAAACTCTCTCCTTTCTCTTTCTTACTTTCAAGATTTTTTTGATTTTTATAATAGAGAGTTTCTATTTGAGAAACTATTGATGGAGATGCTCTTATAGTCCCCTCAAAATAAACCTAAAGTTGTAAAATAAAGAAAATAAAACATAACATTAATAAAATAAATTTGAAGAAAGAAAATCCTACATCTTTGTAGTTTGTAGTTTGTACCACCTATATAATGACCTAATTTATAAAACATAACATTAATAAAATAAATTTGAAGAAAGAAAATCCTAGATCTTTGTAGTTTGTAGTTTGTACCACCTATATAATGACCTAATTTATAGGGAGAAAAGACATTGATTCTTTTGCAGACCCATCAGCATGCATGTACAAAAAGATGTGAAAATGGGTTCGAAAATTATGGATTGGTTATATGATCGGTTAGTCGATAATTCGGGCTATGATTATGAAATATACCTATATTTAAAAAGATGAATCTTTCCAACTTGCTATTAGCATTTTTATTTCAATTTATACATCTTCGTTAAAAAATATTCGAATTCTATTATTAATTATGATTTTAGCATTCACGACATGTTTAAATCGCCGTAACATATATAGAAACATATCAAACGGTTTTACATACAACGATACCAAACTTTAAACTTGTCTATAATTTTTAAACTTTAAACTTGATTAAACTTTCAATTCTTGATACGTACAACGATGTAAACTTGTCTATAATTTTAAAAGATCGAACATCAAAACTGGTGTTGCTACCGTCAAAAGCACTAAATCTTTGATCAAAAAATAGAATCAAAAGTTTCCCACGATACCAAAATTTAAAGAAATAGAGGAAAAGTATATTTGTTCTCCCAAATTAAAACTAATTATTATTTGATCCCTAAAACATAAGACTCTTTCCAATTGTGGAATGCAAAAAAACAATGCAAAACCACCGGAATAATCGACTGATCTTGCCACGTGTCAACATCGGAAGGCTCTTGGTAGATGACATCATGTCGTGCGTACCTCAGAAATACAATCGCACGATAAGGTCACCTTCTCGGCTTTGCCAAAACACTCATCTTTCTAGCGTTTTGTCGTTAAACGTTTCGTTCCTTTAATTTTAAATTGTTTTTTTTTTTTTGTTTTTTTTTTTTGAATTTTAAATTGTTTATGATTAGTATTTCTTAATAAATTTGATTAGTATTTCCATAACTTAAATATTATTCTAATGGTGATGCCGTGATGGTCACAAATAAATGAAAAGGAAAAGGCATAAAAGAAAATTAAAATCCTTTTTTTACTCTCTTTACATGATGGGAACTCTTGACCTTTAAGTTTTTTCTTTGTGACAGTAAGTGTTCAAAGGGACTCGAAACACTTCTCCTTCCATTTGAGTTTTTGTGTGTGGTCCGAATGAAAAATATCTCTGTTTGATCTAGAGATTAACCAGAAATGTGTTTCGAAAGCATTTTTAACTCTTCATCTCTCAACTTCTTCATGAATTTCTCTGCTTATCTATCAAGGTTTGTTAAATTTTCCCTCCCTCTCTGTTTTGATCTTGAAAGGTTTGGATCTTGGAGAATTTGGAGTTCCTCGAGTTTTTATTTAAGTTCCAAACTTACTTTTTATGTAAGTTTAAAGAATTTGTTCTGTTTATGGTTTGTATCAGTGAGAGCAAATTAATGTAAATTTTAAGAGTAAGCTATTGGATCTATAACTGAAGGTGAGGCAAAACAAAAGTTTCTTTCTTTCTCTTTTGATTTATTCTTGTGGTTTTTTGAGAGATTCTAAATTAACAACTATGATTGGTTTGATATGTTAGAGGATAATAGAGATGATGAGTTCTTCTTCTCCAACACAACTTGCATCTTTTAGAGACATGGGAATCTATGAGCCATTTCAACAAATTGTCGGTTGGGGAAATGTTTTCAAATCTGATATCAATGATCATAGTCCCAATACTGCTACTTCCTCAATTATTCAGGTTGATCCTAGAATTGATGATCACAACAACCTCAAGGTTAACTATTTTTTTTCTTTCAAGATTCATTGCTTTTGAAGGTTGTTGTTACTTGTGTTTTTGCTAATTGTTTTTAAATTACGTGCAGATGAATTATGATTCTTCGCATAACCAGAACGAAGCAGAACAACCTTCTAGTAATGATAATCAAGATGATGATGGCAGGATTCATGATAAGGTTTAGAACAAACAAATTCAAGCTACTTATGTTTTTCTTTTGTACATACATTTAAAGATAGGAAATGGTGGTTTTTGTGATATTGATTGATATTCTCTTGTCATATGCCAATAGATGAAACGGCGTTTAGCACAGAACCGCGAAGCTGCTCGCAAAAGTCGTTTGAGAAAGAAGGTAAAAGCAAGTCCCTTTATTGAATCTCATATAGTTAAGTTAGTTACTACCAAGTCTTTTTTTGTTTCTTTAGGCTTATGTTCAGCAGTTAGAAGAAAGCCGGTTAAAGTTATCGCAGTTAGAGCAAGAACTCGAAAAGGCTAAGCAGCAGGTGAGCTAGGTGAAAAGATTGTTTAAAATGTTCTGTTTTGAGTCTCTATCAAGAAAATATGTTGTGGTTTTCGTAATTGACTCAATACTATTTGTTTTCTTTTCAAGGGATTATGCGTTCGCAACTCGTCAGATTCTAGCTATTTAGGACCATCTGGGAGTATTAACACAGGGATTGCTTCATTTGAGATGGAATATTCACACTGGCTTCAAGAACAAAGCAGAAGAGTTAGCGAACTACGAACAGCGCTTCAATCTCATATAAGCGACATTGAACTCAAGATGCTAGTAGAGAGTTGCTTGAACCATTACGCGAATCTGTTTCTAATGAAATCTGATGCAGCGAAAGCAGATGTTTTCTACTTGATATCGGGAATGTGGCGAACTTCAACTGAAAGGTTCTTTCAATGGATTGGAGGATTTCGTCCATCCGAGCTTTTAAACGTAAAAATTACAAACATTATATTCCCTTACAAAAACACTTATCAAACATTTTCAAAATGTAATGTCTTTATTTCTTGTTCTTGCAGGTTGTGATGCCTTATCTTCAACCATTAACCGATCAACAAGTCTTGGAAGTGCGAAACCTCCAACAATCATCACAACAAGCAGAGGATGCTCTGTCTCAAGGGATTGATAAACTTCAACAGAGTTTAGCTGAAAGCATTGTGATTGATGCGGTTATCGAGTCTCACATGGCTGCAGCAATAGAGAATCTTCAAGCAGTAGAGGGATTTGTGAATCAAGTAAGTAGTAAACATTAACTCAAAATAAAGTAAGGAAAGTTTGTGTCTTTCTATTTCAAGATTTCAAACATCTCTGTTCGGATTAACAGGCAGATCATCTGAGGCAACAAACTTTGCAACAAATGGCGAAGATCTTGACGACAAGACAATCAGCTCGAGGTCTACTTGCTTTGGGAGAGTATCTTCACAGACTTCGTGCTCTTAGTTCTCTTTGGGCAGCTCGTCCAAGAGAACCCACTTAAAAGAGGAGTTGATCAAAACTTAAAAAACAAGAAACAGCAGAATCAAAGTCTTAAAGAAGCATAGTCATCACAAAGCTTGGAAATGATGTTTAAAAAGGATCTTTAAGTAGAGTGAGATTCTCTTGATTAGAACTTTATGGTTTTTTTTCATTATGAAGTAACTTTGTGATATATTTAGATACAACAAAACAAATTATGATTGTATGTTTGAAATATGAGCAATATGATAATATGTGTAGTGAATGTAAAATATATGTATTATTCAGGGGCTAATGTGAAAAGAAACTCAATAAACCAAGGGTATTACTGTAATTTCACCATCGTTGCGCTTCAATCGTCCACAAAAATTTTCCCGGGAATTGATTATTTTTTTCTTGGAAAATGAGAAAATTCATATGAAGAAGAAAGAGTAAAGAAGTCTCTTCTTGTCCGGTTTGGACTTTTCAGGAATTTCATTTTCGTGGTAAGAGTGGAATTTGATTTATATGAATTTTAATTTCTGGGTTTGCGAAATTGATCGGTTTCTGGGTCGGGGCTTGAAGTTATGAGCAATCTTCGAGCTATTGGTAGACCACACTCTGTTTTCTCTTCGATCGTGTGTTGTAGTAGACACCAAAGTCGATCACTTTTTAGGGTTTCGATTAAAAACGTCGCCTTTAGAAACCGAGTATCGAATTCGTCTTGGTTTAGGTCTAAAGAAGATTCGAATCTTTGCTTTCGTTTGAATCAGAGGAAGACTCTAGTTAGAGCATCGAATTGGAGCGAAGAGAAATCTCCGTACGATACTCTTGGTAAGCTTCTTCTACCAATTGGGGAGTTTTCTGTATCTTACAGCTTCTTCTTCTACTCTTGCAGGTCAAGATTTAGCTTAAAATGTTCAATACCAATTTGAAAAGTAGTCTTTCCTTTGATGTGCTTGTTGAAGATTGTGGCAATGAGTGGTTCTGTTGTTTTGACTACTGTTTGTGACTTGTGTCAGAAGAATTGGACAAGCCCTTTGTCTTGTGTTTCCTGTTTTTGATTGTATTTTTATGTTGTTTGATTTTGAGTAACAGAGTTGGATCGAGATGCAGAGGAAGAGCAGATTAAGGTAGCATACAGAAGATTAGCCAAATTCTATCATCCTGATGGTACTTTTCTGGATCTTTAGAGCCAAATCAAAAGTCAAGATTTGTGATTAAGGATTCACTTTGTCATCACAAAAGTTCTAACTCTGTTTCTGATTCTGTTTTTGTTGCATTCCTTGTGTAGTTTATGATGGAAAGGGGACTCTTGAAGAAGGAGAGACAGCAGAAGCAAGATTCATCAAGATTCAGGCGGCATATGAGCTGCTCATGGACTCAGAAAAGAAAAGACAATATGATATGGATAACCGAGTGAATCCGATGAAGGTATATATATTTGAGTCATCAACTCGAAGTTTTCTTTTTCCCTCTGAAATTGCTAAATGTTGGGTTTGTGTAGGCATCTCAAGCTTGGATGGAATGGTTGATGAAAAAGCGAAAAGCGTTTGATCAGAGAGGGGACATGGCTATTGCAGCTTGGGCTGAGCAACAACAGCTTGAGATAAACCTTCGTGCTCGTCGCCTTTCACGTTCTAAGGTAAGAAATAATGTGTCTTTTTGAGCTTGTTCTTCCAACTTCGTAATTTTCTTCTGCTCTGTTTTGAATCTGGAAACTTATGTAAGGTGGATCCGGAAGAAGAAAGGAAGATATTGGAGAAGGAGAAGAAAGCATCGAGAGAGTTATATAACAGCACTTTAAAGCGACACACGCTAGTGTTGAAGAAAAGAGATCTAATGCGAAAGAAAGCAGAGGAAGATAAGAAAAAGCTCATCACTCAGCTACTAGCAGCAGAAGGTCTCGAGCTTGCTTCTGAAGAAGATGAGGAAGAAGCAGCCAAGTAAGATCCCAAACATTTTGGAAGCGTCATCTTCGATATCTACTTCAAGTAATTAAGCACTTGGTACTTACTCCCTCTCTCTCTCTTTCTCTTGTAGTATAAACATACATGTAAATATCATATTTTGATAATTACCAGATCTTCACTTCACGGTTCATCATTAAAAATAAGACAAGTACCAATTCATACATCCTGAGAAACAAACAGAACAAAGAAGCATCAATTGCAATGAGCAAGACCTAAGCAGGATCGTAATGATCATAAACACCATCCTTAACATCTGAAGCATGATGATGATGATGATCATCAAGAGAGACTAGCTTGAGCGTGAGACGACCGTTGGATCTGTGAGCTTGAAAATACTCGTGACGACGCACTTTCTCTTCCTTAAGTAAAAGCCGACCATCACTCGTATACTCTCTCTTCAGCACTGACGGCACGTACGATGGTAACGTTGGAGGTGACAGTATCTCACGCGCCACTGTTTTTGTATCCTCTCTTCTTTCACATGGTAACCCGACATCACCGGTCTTGTTGGAGAAATCGTTGAAGCAGCTCTCTGTACCAATGTAGACTCCGTTGTGGGAGAGGGTAGAGGTTTCTTGGTAGTGAGAATTAAGAGCCATGTTATGGAATCTTCAAAGGCTCTCTCTCCCGACTTAGTGAGGTTTGAGTTAAATAGGAGTTAGATTCATCCATTCTCTTACTTACATTTTGGAAGTTTTCTTTATAAGAGACTAAACTGTCTATAGTGAGAAAGAAATACACACAAAATAAGAGAGAGGAAATAAATACATGTATCTATCCATTAGTTAAATGACCAAAACAGGAATAATTTTGTTTCACGAAATGAATGAATACTACACACCTTGACAACAACAATGGAAAAGAAAACATTGGGTTATTTTTCTCCATTTTTGTCAGATATGTGTCTATCCTAACTTTTGACACATGCCACTTTTATTAGATGATCATATCAATATTCAGTACTAATCAATAGTTCAATACTATAAAACATGACACACATGTCTCGTCCAGATTCAAACTCATATGATTGTGACCAACAAAAATAAATTAATACTTATTCCAGACAATGACAATTGAAATATGCGTAAATCTAGTAATACTGTATTAATGAAAGATACGACAGTTATATTAACTAATCAAACACTGATCATTTGGAAACCAAACACAATGTTGGGTTTAGAAAGATAGTGATTTGTATTTTATCGTTCTCTGTAGTGGTCGTCTTTATGTCAAACCAACTTATTGGCTTATATTCAAGAATGCGTAAACTTGAGTTGTTTGCAGCTTTTATAGAATTCTTTTCCATATAAGAAAATTTGACCAAGAAGAAACACAATGTCTATTGCTCATAAAATTTTGAGAGACTCGAATACAAAAATGGATAAAAGTCCGGGAAGAAAGAAAATCTGAAAACTGTATCACTGATCACCAGGAATTGACTTGATAATGTCAGAATCACCTGAAACCACTCGAAAGACAAAATCATTAGTTAGATAGATCAATGAAGAACTAGCAAATATATGTAAGCAAGTAGTTAGCTCTTATACCAGGATCAACAATGCTCAGACACGAAACACGGAAGTACTTCCCGCAAGCTGTTCCCAAATCAACGTTATCTGAAATCCATTAAGGAGAGAAGAAAAACACAACACAGTTAAGCTGAAGTGACACGAGGAATAACCGATGAATGAAAACTATGTTCAATAGAATAAACATTCATCTACTTCCTTTGATGAAATCATCAATGATGATGTATTAAAATGCTCTTTAAGGTATACCAACGAGCAAGATCAAGATCAAGTTTTAGTCTAAGAGTAAAAATCTAGTAATCCCAAACCCTAGACCAACAGAACAATCAATTTGAAACACATATAGAGACCCATTCAAGTAGATTGTGATCTTGCAAAAGATCAACACTCTAAACATTACAGTTTCTACTACTTAGGATCATACTTTCATATATCAACATAATGGTCCATATAGAGACAGATATTACACTTTCAGTTACTATACCAATGAAACCTAAATACAAACAAGGGGATAATGAATCTTTAAAATCTACACGAGCAAAAGAAGAAAGGAACTTACTTCCATTGTAATGGTGGACACCGACTTTAGCGAGCATTGCGTAGTACTCAATCTCTGATCTTCTCAACGGTGGGCAGTTGGTGGAGATTAGAATTAGCTTCCCTGTGAACATAAAGCAAAACCAGAATAAACAACAAACAACAAAAAGCTAAAACATTTAGGTATGCACACCAAGTGTTCGACGAAATTACCTTTGGAGCCACGAAGGGATTTGAGAACAGACTTGTAACCAAGAGTGTATTTACCACTCTTCATTACAAGAGCCAACCTACTGTTGATACCCTCATGAGACTTCTTCTGCAATTAAGCAATAAACACAGAAGCAATTTAGTCATCGCTGGATGAAGTACATTGAGATCGAAAACGATACAAAGGATAAAACTTTGATGTGAGAGAAGGCGACGAACCGTTTTCTTGGCCGTCACCATTTTCGCCGGCGATGAAGTGGAATAAAAATGTCTTGGATCTGTGCGGCGGAGGAGAAGCCGAGAGGAAGAGGAGCACGATGACCTAAAACGATAAAGCGCCGCTTCGTCTCGTTTTATATTCTGTCAATTTTCTAGGGTTTTTGCTCTGCAGTTTTTTTGGAAATTTCAATTATGCCCTTGATGTTTCTAAACTTTTGTAATTTGTGAATTAAAAAAAATTAATTACTCGATTTATTCGTTTTAGTGAATTTGACAGAGCGATTAAATTAGCATAAACCACTTGTACATGTCTTGGTCAACATTTTGTCATGAAACATATCTGAGTTACATTTTCATTATAAAAGAAATAATATGTAGAAATAAATAGGATAAGGTAAACACAGATTTTTGTTTTTTGTTTAGCGTACATTGGATTGGTTTATGTTTCAAGTTTCAACAATTTTGGTTGTGGATGCAGGAAAATTTGAATTCCTTTTTTTTTCTATCGGATTCAACGTATGAGTTAAATTGTATAGAACTGGGACGAACTGATCAATCTCAGTACTTAAGAGTACGACAAAAGACAAGGTTTTTGGTATCTTGTACCGTACGAGGCTTTGCTCCTGAGAGCCCGTCTGTTTCACTCCAATTCTAAATAATCTAGCTTTTATATATATAATAATGTAATATGATCTAATCTGATTTAGGTTGTGTGGTTTACTAAATCGTTTGAGTTTTTAATTAATAGGGTTTTGATCAAGCATGGTCGTCTTATAATCATAATTAACCCGCTGTTACATACAGTCTAATGATACAAAATTACACATTAGTACCTTGAACCTTTTTTTTTTTTGCCGTCTAGATTTATTATTAATTGCAAATTATGAGAACACGACAGACTACACTTCCTTCTTCATGATTTTGATGAATACCTTCAATGATCCACGACCTAGCGACACTTCCTTCTCTGCGTAGAATCCTGGCGCACGGCTATAATTATACATCGCTGGAGATCTCATGCACACTTGCCTCCATTAATCTGCAAATTTGTTAATAAATCGCAATATCTGGGACTCGAACCCCAGACCTCTTAGTGTAGAAGCATTAATCAACCTTTGGTCAACCAATGGGCCAAAGGGGCTTCCACTAGTACCTTGAACCTTATGCCTAATAAACGTTACCCTTAAATTAAAAAAAATATTTTTTCTAAAATCTTGTAGATCTACCCTTTTTACAAAGTGGTAAACTACTACTTTTTGGTAATCTATCGAAATTTGTCCATTGTATATATAGCTTTTATCCATTTATCGATCACTTTTCAAGCTTCCAAGTCGTAATCCAAGATAATTAACACTTGTCCATCACAAAGCTAGAACCTAAACTTATCCATGATTTATTTCTTTATAAAATGCTAGTTTTAACTTAGCTAATCAAAATCTATATCATGGATAGTTTGTCCCCAGAAAGTGTTTATATGCACACTAACTTTTTAAGTGTTTTGTTAAGATACACCAAATTACTTAAGTGATAGATATTCATAGACAAATATAGATAAATATTGTGGAAAAAAATTAAGAAACAAGTAACCAAAGGTTGTTTAGTTTTTAGTATGATTTTGTTATAGTGGTAGATACAGAAAGAGAAGAAGAAAAATTGCAAATAGAATGAGTGAATTAATGAGAAAGGTTATTATATACACATGTAGAGCAAACTTCGCTTTGAAGATCTCTCTCTCTTTCTCCCCTATGTGTTCATATCCTTTCCCTGTCGGCGCGTAACAACAACAACCGAGACAACACAAACAAACAAATCCTCCACGTGTCGTGACCTGAAACCAGGTGGTCGTCATGTACAATATTACTATAAAACATATAGTAACATCCAAGAATATGCCATACAAATCCTAGCGCTTTGCCTTCCTTTTGAAACTCCTTCGTCAAGAGGCACCTTCGTTATAAGCTTTAATTTCACTCATTATATCCCTCTCATACACCATATAAACTAATACGTTGTCATAGTCTTGTTGCTATGGCACCATTTAGACTCAAAGTCACCACATACATGTTACTGATAAAAAGAGAAAAGGATACAAAATTTTTCTTATATTCTCCCATGTTTCACAACACATACCCAAAGTGATCACATTAGCTAGAACAAGGTATATAAATTAGTGGCAGACGAAGGAAGATAATATATCTTAGATGTGTATATATATTAAACATATTATTATACACAAATACTATACCCACCCACGTATATGAGCCTTTAGGCAAATGCCAAGAAACCAATAATGTTAAATATGAGCATTGAGCATTGAATAAAATACATTTTTTGTGTTATAAAGTTTTGAGTAACAACACTTGGTTATATAATGAGTAAAAGTAAATTTTTTACAAATATTATATAAAATGTGTATAAAATGTAAGTGATGTACCTAGCCATATGACAGATTCGTCTAAATTAAGAACAAAAATTCAATCCGCTACCATTTGTAACTCTTTTTCTCTCTCTTTCTCTTACACACAAACCTAAAAAAAACTCTCCTTTCGTCGACTCATTTACTTAAATATATAATTTTCCACTCAATCAAATTCTCTCTCGCACAACTAAATAATAGAGTGCGTTTTGATTATTTGCAGCGATCATTGGACATGGGTCGGGTGAAATTGGAGTTAAAGCGGATAGAGAAGAACACGAACCGACAAATTACGTTCTCAAAACGTAAAAAAGGTTTAATAAAAAAAGCGTATGAATTGTCAACACTTTGTGATATCGATCTTGCCCTCCTCATGTTCTCTCCTTCCGATCGACTATGTCTCTTTTCCGGTCAAACAAGGTACTTCCATTTCTTATTTCTAAAACATTCCATACCCTTCAGGGCCTTTTCCGGTCAAACAAGGTACTTCCATTTCTTATTTCTAAAACATTTCATACCCTTCAGAGCCGACTTTGAAGGGAGCAAAGTGAAACAATTGTATTGGGCTCCCAATTTTGTGGGACTTCCATTTTATGTTTTTTTTTTTGGTTTTTATATAAAATGCAAATAAATAAAGTATATTTAAGCGAATATGTTTATAAGAAATTAACATATTTTTTTAATTTGGATTCTATAAAAAATTGAAAAAACTTTAATTTTTATGCATTTTATACACTAAAATAAATTAAATTAATATATAATAATACTAAATATTAAGTATATAATTATATTATAGACCCTCATTTTTTGTTTTGTATTTGGCCCTAATTTTTTCAAGAACAGCCGTGCCCTTCTAGAATCTTCTCGTGATTTTTCAACTTAGTTAAAGTGTAACCATGTTTTACATATACATGTACTGCATATATCATTTGATTAAGGACAAAATGACAACCCACATATTCTTTTTATCAAAATGACAAAATAAAGATCCTCTATTCGGTGGTTGGTGGAATCCACCGAATAGAAGATCTTTATTTTTTCAGTACTAGTAGTTTTGATTTATTTCCCACTTGCTTTGTAATTCAAATATTAGAGGGTGGACACGTTTTTACATATTACTGAAGATTACAGAACATTTTCAAATATAGTAAAAGTTTCGGGCTTTTTGTGTTAGTAGAAAAGAGCTCTGCTGTTGTATTCTATAAATAACAAAAGTTTCGTGCATTTTGGTAAACAACAGAGTTCAGGGTAAAATTAATAAATACTAAAAGTATCGGATGTTTTTGGTAAATATAGAAAGTTTCGAAAAACTTTCGAAATAGCCCCGGAACTTTAATAAAGAGGAAAACAGTCACAAAAAGTCTTTAATTTGTTGTCAATTTTTTTTTTTTTTTTAAGTTGTTGTCATTTTATTACATAAAAATCATTAGAAACACCACAAAAGTGTTATATTAGTTTCCAATTGATTCAACATAGAAAATTTCTGGTTGTTTAGGATTTTTTGATAAGTTTTCACCATTTGCATCTGCAATTACAGTAGTATATTATTATTTTTATTCCGACATGGCCATCTCGCGTAGATATGTAGCACTCCAAAACGAAACACGTCGTGTTTCAATGACATCAGTGCATGCAATGACTCAGTGTGACTGTGAGCCCCATCAAATAAAACTTATCATTATATGTTTTTTCAGAAATTAAAAGTTGAGAAACAATTTCCTCATTAATTGTAAAATAAGAAAACAGAAGCCTGAAAAGAACAAACCGATTCTACTTGTCACTGCATAGCTTCTTCTCTCCTTCATTTGTCGGTTTGCTCCCACCGGTTTCTCTATACCACTTGGTTTGTTCTTCTTCAACGATACATAACATCTAAGAAAATATATGTAAATTAACACATGCATGGTGTTGTGTATCTCCATAATCGTAATTTTGAGTTAATTTCAGGATCGAGGACGTTTTGGCGAGGTACATCAATCTTCCTGATCAAGAAAGAGAAAAGTATGTGTCTAATCATCTCATTTGTCTGTCTACTTGGTTTATTATTTCTATATTCACATGTATTTTTTGGTGTATTTTTGTGAAAAATCTTCAGCGCCATAGTTTTTCCTGATCAGAGCAAACGCCAGTGAGTATATATCATATATTTCCATTTAATATAATAGTATATACTTTATTTCATATATATATAATTTGTTACACAACTTTTCTTCTCTGTTTTGCAGAGCTATCCAAAACAAAGAGGTGAGACTAATCATATATGGTTATATTCTAATCACATATTAATATTTTAATATTTAATCAGCATTTTTTTTTTTGTGACAGTATTTGTTAAGAACTCTGGAAAAACTCAAAATTGAAGATGACATGGCTCTCCAAATCAACGAACCTCGGTTTCTTTCTCTTTAATCCTTATAATTAATTTGTTCATCTTGTTTATATATGTTGATATGTTTAGCTAATTTCTTACCTCATGACTCTGGAAAAGCCCTGAAGCTATCAATACCGATGTCGAGGTTATTAATTTCCCAATCACATGTACATAATTATTTTTTAAAAGAATTTTTCTAATTATATTTTACAATTTTAAAGGAACTTGAGCAAGAAGTTTGTAGATTACAACAGCAGCTTCAGATATCAGAGGAAGAACTAAGGTATTTTTCTTTAATAACTAGTCATGTGATCCTATCTAATCAATAAGATTATAAAACTTACGTTGGGTGATGTAACATAATTAAATAGGAAATTCGAACCAGATCCAATGAGGTTTACATCAATGGAGGAGATTGAAGCATGTGAAACTCATCTCATCAATACATTGACAAGTGTCGTACAGAGAAGGGTGACACATATTACACATAATATTTTCTCTGCTATTTAAATGCATTGTAAGTAAGAGGGGGGAAATTGATTCGAGTGATTGGTAATCGCAGGAACATTTGTTGAGGAAGTCCTGCGAAGCACCAAGTAACCAACAAAGCATGCAGGGGATCCTTCTAAATGACATCGTCGAGGATTGGGGGTCTGAGGCTGAGCCCAAACAAGCCCATGTGATGGCTAAGTCGGCCCATCAGTCAAATCAGCTAAGGTATTATATAGCCAACCTTGTTTTTTCATATATGATTTAATCATTTTAAATTATTATTGATTTTTTTTTGTCTGTAAGCTATGATTTGCTCTTACAAGGGAGTAATTCGAGTTCGAACCAAAATCCAAAATGATATTAGGTGAATCGTAATACGCCGAGCATTAATGGAGAGAGAATGCATATTGTAAGACAAAAATAAACGAAAGAAATGGGTCTATTGGTAAGCTTCTCTACGGTTTCTCTTTCAAATTAAGGTTTTCGTATACAATAATGTTAAAAAAAATAAAGAAACTTCGACCTCTTGTTCAATAAATTTCTGAGAATATATTTAGAAACACAATCGATTAGTTTTTTCTTCAATCAGTAAATAAAATATACATCAACATTGTAATCAGGCAAACCACAGTGAGATTGTTGATTTTATTTGGATTTGAAAAACCTCTTTGAGTAGAGTTTTGAAGCTTATTTCTTTTACAAAGCTCAATTTATTTTCTGCTTACAAACTCATTATTATAGCAAACATTTCACATGGTGCAGTTTGTAACTTCCAGAGTTCCAGAGATAATTCAAATGAAGAAAAAAACAAGAAAATGAGTCATTGAGTTGCTATGAGCCTATGATACTACATTGGCTCAAAAATGTTAAAAAAAGCAATGGAGGAATAAAAAAAGAAAAGTACAAGATAACCTGAAAAACAAGGTGTACACATAACGTTGCCACAAGAGAAATCCAGGTACCATAGAGAGAAAACATGAAAAGAAGATAGAGCATCATGCACCATTAAACATCATATGCTCACTTATTCAAGGTTTGAGGATAGATCAGCAACCTATAGTTGAAAAATAACAAATCACGAATTAATATTATAGTTAATAAAATCAACTAAAACTCGCAAAATTTATCAATAAAATAAATTTTGTTTTTTAAAGGAATGAATTACCTGTTATGTCATTAGAGAATACTTTCTTAAGTGTGGATCAATATATAAACCGAGGCTTTCGTATCTTGGATATAAACCGAGGCTTTCGTATCTTGGATTGTATATATTATTTACGTGCCTGAAAAATGTATGTTTTTGTTATGTTCCTAAGAATATTTTGTAAGTAATGGAGAAGAATATTTTGTAAATTGTGTGATTAGTCAATGGAAAAGAAATGGAGAAAAATATAAACCTTCTTTCAGGATGATTGATTCCAGTTGAGCCAAGGTTTTCGCCTTCTGACACAATTCTCTGCATTATTTAATTTGATTAACTCACATTAATTTTCATTTTCGTGAATATTACTTCTACGTTAAATAATAAATTTTATGAGACTCTTAAAACTGTACATGAACCCTGCGTTGAACAGAAGATGATGATGATTGTCCAAATTCAAACCGAGTTGGGTAACTTCTTCGTCGACATCCTAAAATTTCACCCTGTAACATTGATGTTATCAATAAGGCTTTTTAGTGCATATGTATTCGTTTGTGAAATACTGATGAAAACTTCACATACATACATTATTCATTGCATGAAAGAAATTGTACCTGTGGAGGTATGATTGCGTTTGCGTTTGGACGTATAGGCATCTGACGATTGTTAATGTTGGGTAACCTAAACCTCCATGGAGACTGATTCACGGATGTTTGCATACCGCCATGTTGCCTATAAAAAAATTAGGTGTAAAAAGATTTTCTTAAAGAGTTTTAAAATGCAGCAATCAAAAACATATATAAGCACAAGAGAAAACTTAACTTGTGCTAAGTCGATAATTAGATTATAACTTGTTACCTGATAAATCTCGAAGACATTTGAGGTCTGGGTATGGTGGATGGAATGTTACGTTGGGGAACAGCATTAAAGGTAGGGATCATATTTGTTTGATTGTGTAAAGGATGTGTCCTCATCCTGCATGAATCCAAAATATTTTTACTTGTAAAAATATACTATTTTGTTTTGTAAATAAAATTTAGAAGAAACAAAAAAAATGGAGTCATAGGAATATTTGATCTTACATAGCTAAATTGTTAACCATCCTTAAATTGGGAGGTACATTTTGCCTACTGGCAAAAACTGGTGGGGTCGGTTGGTGAGGATACATGCCAAAAGAAGAAGCGACATGTTGATGAGGCGTCTGATATGGCATATAGTTTTGCGACCTATATTTCATGAAAATAATACTCTTATGGAAACTCTATAGATCAATGTTATAATTATACAAAGTGTTTTATTTGAGTAGTAGTACTAATATCAGTTTGGAGTGAGATTGTCGGAGATTATATATATGGTACATAAATGCTCTGGATTCACCACCATAAAATTAGATTCACAATCATAAGCATTCAGGTATTTGATAAACAGAGGTTCTCTAAACCATTCCAGATATATAGTGACTAGTACATTTAGCTGATATATTAACATGGAACAAATTTTAGATAATGTACCTGTTTGGTGAATTAGCATGAGGAAAAAGTGATCCAAATGCATTAGAACGGCCTTGAGGGATCCTGCATCAATTAATCACTTTTTATATTAGTAAGAAATTAGAGTTTTCTATTATATGATAGAAGTGTTTGTAAATCAATTAATCTCATACAAAGGTACTGGAAGAAAACGGTTTTGAAGTTGAATTGGAGAATTAGTCACAGTTGGATGTGCAAATCCATTATTTTCTTGCCTCACTTGTTGACCAATCTCTGTTTGGTTCTGAAAAAGTAAATAACAAAAAACCATAAAATATAATGTAGTGAGAAAAAAATTTAACCACTCCAAAGAACTTTTTCTACCCCTGTAAAAACACTCGACTCATGAATAGTATTCAACATGTTTGATAAATTATCCTGTAACCACGTCTCATGCGAATTGCTTAATTGATGTCGTTGTTGCTGTACGACCTGGTGCTGGTGCTGGTGCTGGTACTGGTTCTGGTGTTGGAGATGTTGTTGGTGCTGGTGTTGATGCTGTCAACATTAAATACAAGAAATTATATAATTAGTATACTATCAATAGTTGGTTTACATTTCTTGCTCTATGTCAAAGTGTAAGTAATATACCATTTCAAGTGGATTTGGTACTAGAGTTGATGTCTCTTGATATGTGATTAGATTTGATTGTTGAGAGGATAATAAGCAGTTAGTTTCGTCTCTTGTAGATATAGGGATCAGTCCAAAAGGGTCGTTATACGAATTTTCGGTTTCCACTGTCGGATTCGGCAGACAATCCTGTATATTGTACAAATCCAACAGTTTTATCATCAACAAATTATAATGAAAATCATGAGAGATAAAAAGAGAGCATACCAATAACGGAATATACGGTTCCGGTGATTCAAGAAAACATAAAGGACTCAACAGCGAAGATTCGTCATCGCACATATCGCCAGAAGGCATGTTTGCCGAATATCCTGAACATAAGGTTGTCCTTATCAGAAGATTAACATCGCTTATATATTAAAAGATGAGGTGGAAAAACCTAAAAACATAAAATGCTGATGTGGCGCACTACAGAGAATAAAAGAAATTATCTAATAAAAATAGCCTATATTTTACAATATATTACAATTATACCATTAATATAATTGGTCATATACATATACATATATATATATATACATTATATAGACCGCACACATATATAATATCGAGTAAATTTCTAATATTCATAAATACTTGTTTACATATTATTTTTCGCTAAGTTCTGTTTCAAATTTGTTTTCCAAAATTATATTGCGAGGATGAAAAATACATTTTTAATTTGTAGAATTTTTAAACAAAATATTTTATAATAATATTGATTTTCAAAAACAATATTTTAGTTTTTAACTATTTAAGTTTATTTGAGTACTTTTCACATCCAAAAGTTTTGAAATAGCTAATCAAACAAATATGTTAAGAAAAATAAAATAAATATATATATATAAATATATATATATAATCATCATTTTAACACTTAATTTAGACTTTATATAAAAAAAGACTTAAATAGACAGTCCAAAAATGGAGAAACTAATAACTAATTTTACACTTTAGATATAAAAACATTGTTAGCCCAAAAAGAATAAAAAAAATTAAAAAGATATAAGAACATTGTTTTGTATTTAACAGGTCATTGTTAAGGTGTATTCTAAATTTTCCTTCAAAATACTGAGATTTAATGTGATATATGAGGAAAGAAATATGGAGATAATGATTGGTACACTGTTCTGATTGGATTCTACCAAAATAAGTCATCACTGATTTGTGAAAATTCCAAATGTCATAGCTTCTATTGCTTTCTCTAGATTTTGTGGATGTTTTTCTTTAAAAGGCTTATGCCACTTTTCTACATCACACCTAACTTTTTTTAAAATAATAAAATTTGGAAATAAGACTATTTCTTCTCAAGATATCGCTTTCAATGCAAAAATAATTTCGTTTGATCGATTTGACGGTTTTTCGTTAAGCTATAACAGATTCAAACTCAAACTACATTTTTCAAAAGCAAAATCTATTTTTTAGTCATTGAGAATAATACTTTTGAAACACTAAAACACACTATTAAAGTTCTGTGAATTTGTTTAACACATACAATTCAAATTCTACATACTAACCTTTCTTTCTTTCATATTTAAATATATATAGAGGATATATTTTACGGCATATCACTTCATCGTCTACGTAAGGTTATATAATTGGTCATTTGGTCTATATAAGTATATATAAGATTGTCTCACCAATTATTTGATTGGTACATTATTTATAGAATATATTGACTTAGTAGATACTACCTTATTGTCAATGCATCTTAATTAGTAGAAAACGCATTTGAGTTTTAAGTTCTTAGAAATTTTTAACCAAAAATATTCATTGATAATAACAAAAGAAAAGAAATCCTAAATTACTATTTTATGCTTTTTTCCCCAAATATCACACAAATTTATGCAAACAAACTCTTTTTCTTATAGAAGAATACATATGTAAACACTAGATTAATATAGGGGCATGTATTTACAAGTATTGAGCAACTGCACCCACTGAAATTCTATAGCTCAGTATAATTTTCTAAATACTATCCATAGTGTCTCCACTTTTTTTTTTGACAGCCATAGTGTCTCCACTTTAAAAACGTTTAATTAAACTCCCGTTAGTGATGTCAGAACAATCATTATTTTTTAAATCACTCCCTTTTTTTTTGCTTTTTTTTATTTAATTTTCTCTTTAAACTGTTTTATACTTAAATAAGTCCACATAAAATTATGAGTATTTTCACTCAATGACCAAAAGATGAATGATCTTTAAAAAATTAAGACAAGCAAAATTGACATAATCTTGAGAGCAAAACATGGTTTTCCATTTATTTATTTTTCTTTCATTTGTATATAAATAAAATATACATTGTTTAAGAGTAAAAATGGTTTTTTTTTTTAATAGAAACGTTATGTACAATATGCAAGTCAATAAAAGGTTAATTAAGGCCTTAAGGGTGGAAATTGTGTTTTATATAAATGTATAGTAATATCTTATCATAAATAAATAAAACCGTATAAATATTGTAAATGTTCATAAAATTTTTTAAAAAAACGTATAAATTTTTATGATAAGGTAAAATTGAAATTCCTTGAGATTATTGGCTACTGAGCTGAGGCATTCTTATATCATAGTCGGAGACCTCCTGGTCTGCTTGTGCCTCCTTCTTCATAACCGGGATTTCAATTTCTTCCATATTGGGATCAACCAATCCGTGCTAACATAATTAAAAACAAAAAAATTAATAGGATTGTAAAATAAATTTAATTATTTTTAAAAGAAGAAAATTCAGAACCTGATGCTGCATAGGAGGAAATAGGGTTGTCGGATTATGGGCCGTAGTAGAATTATATGCCTGGGCCCATTCTTGGAACATGTCACCGTTATGATTTGACACATTGGATTCACCCATAATGTTGTTTTGGTTCGAGCTTGAGCTACTTCCTTGCAACAACGTTTCATACATTGCTGAATGGGCTGATGCGTCGAATAAATGGGCTTGGTTAGGCCCATTTTCAGTCAGCCATCCCCCAACGACGTCGTTTACAAAAGGTCCACCCATGTTTTGCTGTTGTTGTATAGCAGATGCTTCGTATGAAGATAAGTGATCATGACTCAACATATGTTCCTGCGTCTCAAGAAATTATTTAGTTGCTAATAAATATTGTTGAATACATTATGCTTAGATAAATAAAGAGAAGTTTAAATTATTGACCCGTCGTTGATTGACACGTGTTAAGGTATCCATTAGCTGCTTCTCACAAGTTTCGTACTCTTCCATTGTTGTAAACCTGATTGGATCTGGTTCGTATTTTCTAATTGTATTTGGATATAACAATTAGTTACATATATTTTTATATATTGTATCACATTGTGTTTCTGGTTATAAAAAGAAGACCTTAGTTCTTCCTCTGCCATGTGAAGCTGTTGTTGTAACTTATAAACTTCATGCTCAAGTTCCTAAAATCGATGATTATTAGAGAGTAAATAACTGAAAATATAGTTATTAGCTAGAGAAACAAAAAAAGATTAGGAGAATCACCTCGACGTCGGAGTTGATAGCTGTAGGGCTTTTAAAATTCATCCAATAAAGAAAATCAACTTCCGAAATATTGAAAAATAATGTAATTTTATAATAATAATAATAATAAAGTACAAGAGAAAGAATTTGAGACTTTGTAAGTTGAAGAGCAATATCATTCTCAGTCTTGAGTTGCTGCAAAGTCCGGAGTAGATACTGTCACGTGACAAGAAAATTTCGAGATCAATAATCTAAAATGTATTATTGAATTCAATATATGTAATCCTTTTTCCTACATCAAAAAGGAGCAGATGCTTAGTCTAATTACGTACCTCTTTGCTCTGGAAATCTCTGCAAGACATAGTTGTCAAAATATAAGCATATGGTTATATATGTTAAAAGTATTTATAAGAATAAGAGTAAAATACGTACGGGCGTCGGCTTTGATCGGGGAATACTAGAGCACTGAAATAAATGAAAGAGAAATATTAGTAAAATAATGGGTGGAATATATATCTTGAGAGAATCTATTAAAGCCTTGAAAGGTGAGAGATTGCTCAACTTACTTCTCTCGTTCTTGATCAGAAAGATTGATGTATCTTGAGAAAACGTCTTCGATCCTTACCAGAATTTAACGAATAAATATAGGTCAAATGAATGTTTTCGTGTTTGTACAAATAACCAAAAGGTAATGTAAAAAGACAAAAGACATAATACAAAAAATAAACCTTGTTTTGCCGGAAAAAAGGCTAAGGCGATCGGAGGGAGAGAACATGAGGAGAGCAATGTCGATGTCACAAAGAATGGACAATTCATAAGCTTTCTTTATCAGACCATTACGTCTTTTTGAGAACGTAACTTGTCGATTCGTTGTGTTTTCTATTCGTTTTATCTCCAATTTCACTCGACCCATGTCTCTTTAATCCGATCAATGCAACACCAACAAACTCAAAGATTCTTCTTTATTTTTGTTTAGGGAATGCGAAAATCTCATCATTGGAGGCAAAAGTGCCTATATATATATATATATGAGAATTGCATGGACGAGAGAAAAGAGAACCATGAAAGAAGGAGAGGTTAGGTATATAAGAGCGATTTGGTTAGAAATGTATGGAAGAGATTAAGAGAGATTAAAGGGTTTTGTTCTTTGAACGAATTAAGAATGATCTTATATTTTGCCACAAAAAAATTCATATAGGAGTATATGAGATGGAATTATGTAATAATTTGGTCAAAGTGGTGACAATGCACAAAATCAGAAATTACCCTTCGTTTCTACATCTCGACATCAAATTTGCTTGCTGATGAGATTTCAGGTATAGGAAAAAATTAATAACCGGTATAAAAAATCAATTACTATTTCAGATTAACCAGTATGTCTTTTATTTTGTCAATAATTTGAAATCTACTTAATGGCAACTAGTACTCTTTAATTGGGCAATATCTACTTAATGGACAAATATTTGATTTTTCTTCAACGGCTATAATTTCCGACCGTTAAACGCTATCTCAAGGTGTTTGTGCTTATATATAATCTCTACACTTTTTTTTTTTTTTTTTTTAACTTTCATTAGAAATCTCTATACTATTAAAAGAGAAGTACAAATGAAAATGGGTCGGGTTACAATCAGAAAATTGACTCGAAATTCTGAAATTGGATCTTTGAAATTTTTTTGGAATATAAATTCGAATTAATAATGATAAATCGAATAAAAATCAAATATTTATGGAAATAAAATAAAATCTTATTGTACTTATGGTAACTAATGATAAAAGTATATTCTGAACAATATTATACAGTAACTACGTATAATAAATTTGTTCATATATTTTTGGAACTAATTCCATAACAATCAATATTTTTGTCATTAATTTCGTTTCTTTAACCAATTATCATTAATTGAAAGATATCTTACTTGTTTCTAAAGATTTCTAGAAAATTTATCACAAATAAGTAAATAACCCATCTGTTTTATAAATTAAATTGATATTTTTAATTTAATTAGATTAAATCAAAATTATGGTATTTTCATACCTATAGCTTACCAAAGAAGTTTAATTTTCAATTTATAAAGATTTCTCGAATATCATTTAGAATTATTCAACAAGATGATAAGTATTTATTAAATTTTGTGAATCATGAAAATTAATAATTAATTTTTCTGAAATTTACCTAGTTTGACCAAATTTTGGGAAAAATAACTAGATTAACACCCAAATATTGTGGTTTACTAGAATAACACAATTTTTGTGTTAAAAGACCAAATACTCATTTTATTTTCAATTCTATTAAAATAAACTAATAAACATATAATATTTTAATTAAATAAAAAATTGAAAAAATACAAAACAAAAAAAAATACAAAACGACAAAGAATTGAAAAAAAAAATATAAAACGAAAAAAAATTAAATTAAAAAAATTATATATATAACGAAAAAAAATATAAAACAAAATAAAAAATAAAAATTAAAAAAAAATATATAAAACGAAAAAAAATACAAAACGAAAAAAAAATTAGATTAAAATTTTTATATATAACGAAAAAATAAAAAAAATAAAAAAAAATTGAAGAAAATATAAAATGAAATAAAAAATACAAAACGAAAAAAAGATAGAAATTCGAAAAAATAAATATATTTATCTAAAACGAAAAAAAATTAATCATATATTAACAAGATGAGAGCCACACATGAGTCATTTAATATAAATACGTCTGTCGCGGAAAGAATATGTCTGTCATTACCATATTATGCAGATTAAAATTCTATCTTCATCAATAAAACTGTCATCAATGACAGATTTTTTTATATCCAATCTGAAATCTGTCATAATATAAAAAAAAATCTGTCATAACATAAAACATTTTGGTTGCGAGTATATGTCATTCTAGCAATTTATATTTTTAAATAACAAATCTACTATCACACTCCAGATTTTTGTTAAAACAAAAAAAACTGTCATAACATAAAATAAATCTGCTATCACTAATAAGTCAAACTAGTAATTATTTTTTCATTAACAAATCTGCTACATTATGATAGATTTTTATCAAAAAATATAAGTCTGACGCCACTGAAATAATAAATCTGCCACATATTTTAATAAATCTGTCAAAATTACAAAAGTCTGTGGTGTCATAATAAAATAAATCTGTCGTAGAGAAAAAATCTGTTACAAATTAAATATCTGTCGTCGCCTATTTCAAGTAAGTCTGTGGGAGAAAAAAAATCTGTCGCAAAAAAATCTGTTGGAGACAAATAAGTCTGTCATGGAAATTAAATCTGTCACAACTTATCCAGCAGACTTTTCAAATAATTTTTTTTTCCTAATATTTTTTGCCCACGTTTTTATTATTTATTTAAGGGTAATTTTGACTTTTTTTTTTATTCCTAAAGAGAGAAAGGGTATTATGGTCACAAAAATAACTCATTTAACCCCTAAATTTTTTAAGACACTCTAGTAATTAAACTCATAATTTGGGTTAATCTAGTAACTTTCCTTTAATTTTTAATCATTATATTTTATCTTTCAATCTCTCATCTAACAAATAAGATACATATTCTATTATTCCTATGTCCAAATTTCATTTTGTTGTATGACTAAATAATATTCCCATTAGAGCTGTCAAACCGAGTTGATTCGTCCCGTTAAGCATGTTTTACGAAAAGGCAAAAAATATTTTGACTTATTGTTAGTCGGTCCGTACGACCCGCGGATAGCATATATGAAATACAAAGCCATCCCGCGAATGTATGCGGATTTGCGGGATTGTCTGTGGATTTTGTTTAAATAATTTTAAAGTAATCAAAATTTAAAATACTACTAAAATAAATAAATAAATAAAAATACTATTAAGAGTTGTTTAAATTACCACATGTTGAATAAATTATAATTTTATCAATAAATACTAACATGCGAGCTGATCCGCCAACCCGCGGATAAAAACCGATTAAACCTATGACCTACTGCGAATTAATCTTTGTGGCCCGCTTATTTGCGGGTTTAATATATTTTTCCAATTCTGCCCCATAGTGAGATGATTTTGGCTCGATCCGCGGTTTTTGACCTAAAGTGACTACTCTAATTCCCATGAATCGTCTAATTTTATAATTGTAAAACACAAAATTCTATTTTGTAAATCATAATTAATACTATGGGTTTATTTATAAACAATTTAACATTTTTTGTACAATTCGTTATTATGAATATTTATAAGTATACTACACGAATCGCTCTACTAAAAACACACAATATTAAACTCAACGTATATAAACCAATATTTCCCTGCGGTGCACTGCGGGTCCGATCCTAGTAACGATTACAAAAGCGAAACAGGCTGAACCCAGCTACAGAGAAACAGAACAAACCTACTTACCAACATAACATACATCAATCCAAGGGAAACTAAGATTGGAATACCTGAAACCACGTAAATAGAAAAGAAACATTAGGGGGAATGATTCTTTGAGCACGAGACAGAGGGTCTAGGCGACGTCGAATAGTATTCTGGACGTCAAGGATTATAGCGGAGGAGGGACGAGCAATTTGAGTATGAAGTCTTCTATTCCTTTCTTTCCAGATCAGGTATAAAGACGCTTGATAGGCGAGCTTGAGGATTAAGGCAATATTGCTATTCTGACAGGGGTCTTTCATCCATCTAAGTCCATGCTCAAACAAACGTGGAGGAGACACATGGGCCTTAGATGAAAAGAAAGACCACACCTGTTGAGAAAAAGAGCAATCAAAGAACAAGTGTTGAAGAGTTTCATCGGATGAGTTACAGAGAAGGCAGTGCGGAGGAACAAGAAGACCCCATCGCAGAAGCTTATCGCGAGTATGCAGCCTCTTTCGAGCCGCCACCCAAGTGATAAAGGCATGTTTTAGAATGCGTCCTTTAAACCAAACAAATTCATGCCAATCAACTGCAGGACCAGGAGGGTTTAGAAAGTGCCACGTAAGAGCCGTAGAGAACCTGGAGGAAGGAGGATGATCCCCAATCTTCCACAAAAACAGGTCGTCTTCAACAGAGGAATCAACAATCGAAGGCAGAGGCAAACATTGTTTCAAGAGTTGAATGATTGGGTTTCTACTGCTTGAGCTAGATAACCACCAATCACCATCACGAATAGCATCAGATACAACTGCATGAACAGGTAGCCCAGTGACACGCGGACCTGTTTCACCCGTTATATCCAAAAGAGGCCCTAAGGAAGTCCAATTGTCCTTCCAGAAGCTGCAAGTAATCCCGGACCCGACTTCGCAAAAGATAAAGGGTCTGACTAGAGGTCTTAGTTTACAAAGATTTCTCCATATCCAGCTTCCTGCAAATCTGGCATCAAGATCCCAGAAACTTGAGGAGCCAATTAGATGTCGCCTCACCCACGAGACCCACAAAGAGCCAGCAGCTGCAAATATAAGCCAAATCAGTTTGAGACACAGAACCTTGTTCCATGCAACCAATCTCCTAAGGCCAAGTCCTCCACTTTCCTTGGGAGTGCAAACCAATTCCCAGCTGATCTTTGCACCTCTAGCAAAAGAAGGATCACCCTTCAATAAGAAGCCACAACACATTCTTTCTATTTCCTCCAAACACTTATTAGGTAATAGAAAGACAGAAGCCCAAAAGGTAATAGTAGAGTAGATAACAGACCTAATCAATTGAAGCCTCCCAGCAAAGGAAAGTTTTTTCACAGACCAGGAACTGAAACGCTTAGCAATCTTGTCTAACAAAGGCTGATAATCCTGTCTGAGAAGTTTTCTAGAAGTAAGAGGAAGACCAAGGTACCTAACCGGGAAGGAACCACACTGTAATCCGGCTCTATTAGAGATGTCCTGGAGGCGTAAGAAGTTCCCTCCATCCAGAAACAAGGCAGTCTTATCTTTGTTTAAACCCAACCCAGAACCAACTCTGAAATCCTCAAGAATAATAAGAATTCCTTCCAAAGATGATTCATCACCATCAAAGAAGATGAGCACGTCGTCAGCAAAGCTAAGATGGGTAATGAGAGGAGCAAGGCACAGAGGATGAGGATTATACACGTGATTGAGGACACCAGCATCTAATTTTTTTGACAGAACATCCATGGCCAAAACAAAAAGTAAGGAAGAGATAGGGTCACCTTGTCATAAGCCCTTCTTGCCAGGGAAGATATAATCTCTACACATTGCTATACGTTTGTATTAAGCGTTTATTACATGTTTAGTTTCACTTAATTAGGAGTTGGGAGTGAAAATCATTAGATATAAAAAAAAATAACTTTTTATTGATGTGTATATTGTAAATGCACCATGACAGCAATCGTTACGGAACTCTTGATTTTTTTAAACATGGCCATAAAAGATGTTGATTTCATAGGCTTATTCCAAAAACAATAGTGGCCGATTTGAGCAGCTAACGATTAAAATGTTTCTCAAATTTTTTTGAATTAGTAATTAGTAGCTGAAATGTTATTGTTCTCAATGACTATAAAACATATATAAATTTTTTCTATTCTTTTATATAAGTGTACAAAATCTAACACTTATA